GATCTATTATATTTATATTAACACGTGTTTGGAAGTAAAATAATATTATACTAATTAAGTTTTCTTTATTTTTTGCTTTCTTTAATTATTTGTATAGATGGATAGCTTATTATAAATTAGTTATAATTATTAAATCTATTCTTAGAGAATATTATTGAATCCTCTTTCTTTATCTTATAAATTTTTATTAATTATAATAATATCTAGATGAAAAATAGCTTTTTAGTTTATATTATCTTTTCTTCTCCAAATCTTGATATCAAGTATATTGCGAGGTATTAAAAAATTATTTTATTTCTAATTTTTTTAAAAAAAATTTTTATTTTTTATAACTAGTAGCAGGTAACTGCTTTTAGCCAGATTTATATATAAGATTAGAAGCCATTCTTTTATTTTAATTAAGAAAAAATAGTAATAGTATAAATTTATTTTTAAAAAAATATATTATTTTCTAATAAAATTTCTTATATTTTCTATACTATATACTCGTATATTCTATAACATCTAACAATTAATAACTTTGGGATTAGTTCTATGAGCTACTATCTTTGCAAGGACTATAAGAAATAAATATTCTAGCATATTTCTAAGTATATTATTAAACAGATACTGGATAAAGAATTATTATAAGTATATAAGTACCAGTGGTATTTCTATAAGTACTAATTCTAGAATCTTATCTTTATATAAAATTCCTAGACTCTCTAATAGATTATTATTATTAATATTTGTTATATTATCTCTAGGCTTCCGTTGCCTATGATAAAAGAAATTTTTTTAATTAAGTATTATGCTTTCTTATTATCTACCGCCTGCCATTTTATATTGTTGAGTATGTCTAGTTTAAATAGATAATTAATTTTATTATTCTAGTATTTTTTTGAATATCTATTTTTTTTTATCAGATACAGATTAAAAAGCGTCTCTTGGAGCTGTTAAAGAAGATACACACTTAATTACTATTAAAATTTTTAGATAACAGGCGCATATTGATTGTGGTTAATTATTAGACTAGTCCAGATTAAAAAATATTTTTTGCTTTGACTGGATACTTTTTAATAAAGAATATAAATTATTATAAGATTTTATTAGGCTTCTGACCGGTGTCTGGATCCCACACTGGTAAAAATCTGGCTGAGATTATTTTAAAAGTTCTATAAAAGCACCATTTTATCTACCAGCTGTTGGGGGTGACTACTGATAATATTAATAATATTATTATTATATTTAGTATTATTATATCAGAACTCCGGGCTTAATTTAGCCAGAATATTTATTTTTATAATACTATAGTGAATTCTGATCTTATAAAGATTATCCGAAGCTAGTATCATATTTTCTGCCTAGCTTATATTATTCAATTTTCTATTAATATCTTTCTTCGGAAACTCCGAATCGAGGCTGCGAATGAAGCAGTTAAATATATATAAAAAATTAATAATAAGAAGCTAGAGATCTCTTCTAGTATTTTTTAAATAATTAAAAAGATATATAATAAGAGTTCTCTATGAAAGACTTCCACAGGATTTTCTAGAAGTTGTCTGTAAAAATCTTATATAAAATATTCTAGAAGTTATCTACAGAAGACTTTTATAGATAATTTTTATAATTTATTTATTTTCTTTTATCTACTCTTCTGATTCTTAATTATAAATTTGGAAAATTATATATTTTATAAATATGAGTCTCTAATACTAGGAGAAGTTTCAGCTTATTTAATAGCTAGAATCTATTTTAATATATTATCTTTTTCTTAACTATAAAATCTAATAAAACTCAATCTATCTTATAATTTACTGTATAATTAAACTATGTCCAGCTATTAAAAGCTTTATCTAGTACTAGAATTATAATAATATCAACTATTTTCATCTTATTTTAATAGAATAGAAGTAATTAAAATATTTATTTAAATTTTTATATCTTTTTTTTCTTTTTATCTCCTGCCTGTCAGAGAACAGTGGATCTATAATTTATAAAATTTATAATATTTATAATAATCTTTTTAATCATCTCGACCAGTCTATTAATTGGCTGGTATAAAAACAGATATTCTAGAAGAAAGAGATTCTCTAAGATCTGAAGAATATATATTAGAAATTTTATAAGTATTACTATCGGATCTACTAGGCTAAAAATTATATTTATATAATTATAATAATTCTAGACCCCATGTTAAAATTTAAAAAATTTAAGAAGGGTGCTTGGCTAGATAATAATACTAATTAATATCTTGAATATTAAATTATCTTTGAAAAGATCTTCTATTTTTACTACTAGTAGAATCTTATTATTAATATATTATTCTCAGTTTTTAATATACTTTCGGGCCTGGACAAGGTCTTTTATAATATCTTAAAATATTAGAAGTTTTTATTTTTTATAATAATATTTAAGAAGCTCAAGGTCTATCTTAATATTAAAAATATATAAATTATCAAAGATTGGAATATTAAATTAATCATTTCTAAAGTTATACTTATATTAATAATTATCTAGAAATTATTAGATACTCTGATATCCTTATCTATTAGAAGTCTTGTTATAATCAGTTTTCTATTTTCTACTGCATGGCTAGGGACTTTCCAATTATTATAACTAATAATATTAGTATTAAATGTCTTTTTAATAATTCTTAAAATATCTGCTATTATTACTAGAGCCGCCTGCATCCCGAGACTATTGAAGCCCTTATGCTCCAGATATGTATTAATTGCTTTACTATTATTAAGAAGTATTAGAATATTTTTAATAATTTTTTTCCGGATTCTATTATATTCACAGCCGAGGATCAAGAAGATGATGAGCCAATAATAATATTCTATATTAATAAGAATGAGAATATAGATGATTTTAATAATAATTCTGAAAGTAGAATATTATTAGAAAGAGAAGATTAAGCTTTTTCTTAGTCTAGTAATATTATATGTATTTAAGTATAGATAAATACTTGAATTGCATGATTTCTTTGCTATTATGACCACCGACCAGGATAATATAAAGAATAATTTAGATAGTGATTTATATATATCTTTCTAGTAGTCTAATCTAATCATATTCAGATTTCTAGTATTATCTGTAAAAGTCTAACGCGGGAGCTACTAGACTGCTGGCTGCTGGCTGCTAGCCGGAAAATCAGATTTTTATTGATTAATAACTAATCTAATTAATACCTGTTCTAATGATATAGTAATTAAAAGTATATTATTACTAGTATAATATTCTTGTAAAGTTACTGTATAAATTACTAATTAACTTGTGGTTATTAACCTTCTGAGTATACCTGACCTTCCTAACCTACGGTTAAGGTCGGTTAAAGTAATCTCTTAACCGTAATCTACTTTTAATTGTACGGTTAAGAGGATTCTTATACCTTAACCTAACCGTCAGGTTACGGTTAAGGTTAGGTTAAGGTATAACGGTCAGGTATAACCACTCTAGTATAAAATATTTAATAATAAAAATTAATATTTATATTACTAGAAACATACTGTTAATTATATTTATTCTACTCTGGTAAAATACTTTCTATATCAGATTACATGCCTGACCTGCCTGAATTCCAAATTATTTAAGAATGTGACTCTATATCCGTAATTTAAATAATTAATTATCAGATATTTAATAGCCTTCTGCAGTACACTCGGGCTTCTGAAATATTAGAATATCCAGTTTATCTCTCTTTATATTTATCTGAATATCTCTCCGGTGCGCAGAAATAAACACAGTATAGATATCCACTATATTTTTTATTATCGCAACAAATATATTATCGTCGATAGCCAATGCTATCAGTTAATCTAATAAGTCAAATATCAGATTTTCCTCATGTTTGATTACAAATCTCTTTCTATATTCATATAAAAAAAATTAAGATAATCTACTTTAAATCTAGTACTTACATTCTCGGCTTTCAGTCCTCACCTTTCGTGTGAAGGAGGGTTATAATAGCAGGAAGAATATAGTATTTACTAAAAATTAAATTACAGATAATATAAAATTTAATATATTTTTAAAAAATGATATTAGTCTCTTTATCGCCCTTAAAATACCCGTTATCCGTAATATTAGATGTATCTGACTCGCAGTCGACTTCACTCGCAGTTTCCAGATCAGAGTAGTGGCTGAAAATATTATTTAAATCAGTTTCTTCTTACTTACTCATCTCAGTATCTTTACCTATTATATAGTTGGAAACCCCAGAGGGCGCCTCATCTTCCAGAACTCTTGTATTTTATATAATTACTGGGATTCTTAGATCCAGAAAGTTTCAGGATTCATCCATTAGATTGAATATTAACAGTATGTCTTGTATCAAATAATAATACTGCTCGGCAGGCGGAAATGTTTAATAAATTAAGACCAGCTAAGATATATAATCGTTGCTTCTCATCGGCAAATACCAAGTCGTAATGGGCCATGTAAGTGACAAGAAAATATAGAAGATTATCTGATGCTGCTGTAGACTTGGGTAGAGGATAGACTAGTACCAGCCGTACCTGCCTAGTAACAGTAGCCAGCTATTCCAAATATCGACTCCGAATTTGTTCACATACTCCCCAAATCCTTCTCCTGTTGGCAAGGCCCAGGGTATAGCCATATCTTCTGCCCGTAGGCTCACCATGCTCCCTGCAAGCGAGTAGCAGCCTAAACGCTTTCTCCTCAATCCTTTGCGATTGAAAAACCGAGAGTTCAAACACCTCCCACAGCCATGGATATGTATCGACTAACTTGGCCTCCCACATGGAGCGCGGAACCAAGGTGGTGTGCATGGCCCGCGAGGCGGCATTGAGAGCCAAAATCGATTCTGGGTGAATGTGCTTGAAGATTTCATGTCGCAGTTCGATCGGAAGACGACTGAAAATGTCTTCTTTCTGGATCTTCGTCCCCTTATCCAGGTAGGTCTTCATGCACAACAAGCACCTTATATCGTTGATCTCTGATTCGAGCTCCGGTATGTCGACTGAATTTACTACCAGAATCTGGGCATGTTAGACTTTTAACCCGCATTTTTTGCGCTCAGAATATTACTTACCTCTTGCCCTCGGAGAGTCTCCCACACCTGCTCTGCGGGCGGGTCTGGGTCGCCATAGTCAAGTTGCAGCCGGACGTACCGGCCGCTGTTGACCTGTTCAAAGATCTGGTACAGCTTATTATTTCGAATTTCCCCTCGTTCCCTCAGGGAAATGCATCTCTTGAGAATCTCGTAGCAAACGGAGTGAAAGGGAAACACATGCGGTTGGCCGATTTCCGCAAAGTCGTGATATCTGTGAGAGGGTTAGCGGGTAAACTAGAACAGGAGACGCAATACATACGCTACCATGGGCACAATCTCGTTCTCCGGGTATGGGATGTTCGGGTCTGGCAAGATGATGTTATCATTGACGGGTAGTTATAGTGCCTCGGAAGGCTATGCATCCAGAACAACGTACGATTCCCAGCAACGACTTCAATTCCACCCTGGGAGGACCTCCAGTTTTAGCAAAACATAGTGCCAGTGTGAACAGTGTCAACGAAATTGATTAGCTTACATAGTCAAAGTACCGACCAGATCCTGTCAGAAACGACCTAGAAAATCAGGGCAGTTAGTTTTACCAAGGCGTTTATAGCGAGTCACTACTAACTTGTCACTTCCGATAGCGTTGGGATTCATGCCTAGGGCACGTAGTTCGTCGAGCCACTCAAGGTTACAGTCCTCGAGGATGTCGAAACGATAGGCCCTTTCGTCGGTCCCTTCGCAGTCAATGTCGACTTGGCTGGAGAATGGACCTCCACAGATAGCGCAAAAAATCGCCCAGCCACCCATTTTGATCGCTGTGCTTGGATGATACCGTTGCGAGACAGAGGAAAGGATAGCGCGTCTTGTATAATTGTTGCCAGTGGGAGATTGGTGCCTGGTGCCTGGTGCCTGTGCCCTGGGTCGGAGTTGCCACCATGCCTAGGCGGGACTAGCTTAAGTTCTATGCCGGGCGGCGCTTGCCTTTGGCTCGAAAAAGCGCATCAGAGTATATAACATAAGGTTTAATATTACAAGTATCCCCCCTTAACTTTGTCAAGGGTCAGTTTGGTATCCTGTTAGAGGTTGATAGGCGAGACAAGGCGAGACATACCCAAAGCTATATCGGCATGCTATGGGATGGCCTAATGGGCCGATGACCGACGGATCTCAGGTAGCAATCCTGTTGTCTACTAAGCAGCAAGAAAAGCCGGAGTAGAAAGAAACCGATCCCACCATGTTTATATTCAAATTCTATATCCAGTTTATTATTGCCAAACTGGCGACGGGACTGGGAATGGTCATTGCTTTGGAGGCGAGGCAGTTCAACGTTGTGTTCAGCTATCAACTCACAACTGCCCCCACCCCCCCACGATCGGGGCCGAGTCTGCATCGGCATCTGGGAAGAAAAGCCCCCTACCATGGCTATCTATCTGCAGAACAGCCGTTCAGCACCTAGGAGTAATATATGCGACCTATTTCTCCATCAGTAATTATATTTCCCTTTAATGAAATATCTTGTACCTACGACCGCAGGGTGCGGAAAACAGGGTTACCTGTCCGTTCAGCCGTACTTATGCCACACGCCGGGAGGTTAGTAGCTGGGTGAATGACCACCAGCAAATCCCTTCTGTTGTGTATTTTTGTAATATTTTTCCGTATGTTAATTCTTCTATCTATGCCTTTGAACGTAACGCAATCAGGGAGTGATGGTTTTCTGCACCTAGGTTTGTTAGGTGGACCGCAAAAACCCGGCGGGTAAAGTCACGGCTACCGAGCATTTGTCATTACCACCGAGCCTAGCCATTATTTAACAGATGGAGGACCATCTCTGTGACAGGGTAAACATTGCATTCTATCCTTGAATTTCTTATACTATAAAGAAATGTCTGTAAGCATACAGGCCTAAGGAATCAGTAATATATCATAAGTTCATAATGAATCTCCATGGTATATTCATCGGAATAAGTTAGAAACAATATTAATGACCTCATGGCTGTGATAACCATTGTAATATATCATCAAGAAGGTCAAAACCACCATAGGATAGTTATTCTATCACAATATTAATGCTATAACTATGGCTTTTGTATGCTTAATTAGCTCGGATCTTTACTAGTTAGTTTTACAGGCAAAGAGCCAGGCTTATGAATCATGATCTATGAAAATAATATATTAGTTAATAATAATAATTACAGAATTCTGACTATCTAGACGCGCTCGGAAGGAGCGGTTGAGTTTATAATTGATACTTTACTTTCATAGCTATTCACTTATTAAGAACACGTATGGTTGAATCTGATATATATACGCGCGATGGAGTTCATTCAATATCAGGGGTGCTATGAATTCCTCAGCGTCATTGGATCACCCGCCTGTTTCCAACAGATAAATGTATGAGAACTACCATTTGTCTGATCTAGCCTAGCTACTAGCCACTCTATGTGGAAGGCATGGAAGGCTGAGGTCTGACTGCAATGGTTTAGGGACATTCTGGTCCGTGACTCTAAATGGAAACCGTTAGTGTTGGCCGCATGGCATAAGATAAAGGGCTACTAAAAGGTAAATGTGGGGCTCCGGTCTGGCTAGTGTGGCTGTAGCGACTAGCGCCTCTCCTGAGATGTACTAATCGCAGGATGAAACTAAATCGGGTTAGTTTCCCAGACCCATGAGGAGATGCCAAGTTTAAAACAGGCTTGCATATGCTGCAAGGCTAGCAGTAGATATTAATATAAGTTCGTCGTTGTGTTTAAATATATCCTTCATCATTCTTCCTAAGTCATTGAAACAAGTCTGATATTTATCATGTCTCAACCATATCTCCATCCGGTGTCCCAGCCTGTCGCCTTGTTTGAGCAATTCATTGCAACGGAGCCACAGGTCCTAGTCTTGAAGGAGAAGGTGCTCTCTCTTTCTGGAGATAGCTTCGATATCAGGCTTGGAGATGGAGTGCCAATTCTGAAAGTGACTGGTACTTTGTTGTCAGTTTCCGGGCGCAAGAAAGTCGAAGACATGGATCGCAACCATCTATTTGATATTCGCAAGGAGCACATGCACGTTCATACAACCTATGTGTTGGAGGATCCCGATGGTAACAAAATTTGCGAGGTCAGGAGCAGTCACAAATGTAAGCACTACCAGGTACACTCCTACTGTATAACTAACCGTTACAGTTATTGGCTCAAAAGCCACTGCCACCTGTACTGACCAGTACGGCAAGGAAGTGGCCTTGGTGATGACAGGAAATTGGAATGATCGTGCTGCCCATGTTATTAATGAGAGTACTGGAGAAGCAGTCGCTCGCATTTCCAGGAAACGTTTTACCGCCCGTCATATTTTCTTTGGCCAGGACACCTATAATGTGATTGTGGCACCTGGTGTAGATATGGCATTGGTCGCTGGTTTATGTATCTGCTTCGATGAGAAGAACAATGATTAGCGAGGGAAAGGCGAACAAAATGGTATATAGACAATGAAGTAATTATGTGATAGAGTGGTAGTACAATAGTAAAATAAATTCCACTGCAAGCCAGTTGACAAACCCAAAGAGAACATAAGAGCGGTCTAATGTATAAAGGATGTAAAATGGTCTACATTGTAACCTAATATATAGCTTCAGGTATAGTATAATCATTTAGTAATTTCTAGTATGAAGCACGCTTAACGAAGCCTATGACTGCTGGTTGTGTGGCGTAGACAACATTACGGCCTCCTCAAGCAAAGCAACCAGTCTTGCTCTGTTATATATGGATGGCAGGTATAGAGTTTTGGAAGCACTGAACTTAGTCATATTAGGCTTGTTTATTGAGCAGAAAAAGATCTTCTGAGTATTTCCAACAGGCTGCTTGTCACAGGTCGAAGTTTTGGGCTATTACGAGGCTTGACAGCGCTGAATAGACTGGCCCTTGGACCCTCATTCCTAATCAAACTTTATCACTTGCAGATCGGGTGCCTTCATGCCGATCGGTAATCCGCTAAGCGCACGTTGATTCCCGATTGGGAATAGCTTGCAGGTGCTGGGAGGAATAGAAAAACTTGCATCCCGAACAGCGCCACCAGGTCATTCCAGCTCATTAAGATGCGATCAGCCTTACAGGTAGTTTTCGACACTTCAGAATGTAGGTATGTAAGCTGAGATGCTAATATTACAACTTTGTGGGGGATTGATGCGCAAGTTGTACCCCAATCAAGTATGGTTTATCCGAGCCGAATGCCTTTGGAAACCTAGTGATCCGAGGCTGAGCAGTTCAGCTGGAATGGGTTACACATCCAAGGTCGTTCGGCAAGGCTGACAGGTGAACGGTGTCTTAAAATGATTAAACATCAAGATAGACATGTATGCTAGCTGTAGGTACAACATTGGCCGCATATAAGACTAAGTCAGTACGCCACTCTTTGATTCTCCAGTCCCTCCTTTCTTCCAACGTTCAATTTTTATAACGTGATCTCAAGCCAAAGTGTATACCATGGTTGGACAAGGCAACTATCAGCTGGCGAGGAGCGATGGCCCCCCTCCCTTACCTCTTGATCTTCGCGAGCACAAATTACATATATCTTTGCAATGGGGGATTATTTTACTCACGTCCTGTATAGCACCATTGGTGCTCTATCCAAGTTTACACTGGGGGGCGGATCTATCCCTAAAGATTTGTCCGTGTCCCATCTATGTCTTCAAGCTGGTCTTGCCCATATCTTATGATTGGTACTAATGCATCACAATATCAGCTCTCAGCGTATCCAGTGCAATGCTAGGGGCATCGACCTTATACTCGTTGGGCATACGAACATGGCGACTGTTCAAATCGACATCGAATTGCCGACCCCCTACATCTGAAAGTCGATGGAATGTACGCTATATATCTCCAGCCTACTTCCGAAATATGACAAACTCGGCTCTACTAACACACTCCTTTTCACTTCCATCATAAAGTTTGACTTCTTCCACTGGAACTATCTTCTGGGGTTTGTGCTCGTCACAATCATTATCGTGGTTGGCTTGACGGAAGATCCTCCTAGTGTACGAATGACATCTTTGCCACCGTCTATTCTGCTCGTGCAAGTTGGCCTCACACTCGTCATTGTCGGAGTTCTGGCAAAGCTTCGTGTACGGCAACCATTTCCAGTGTCTTCTATGCCCGCAGGTACAGCATTTCGTCCAGGTATCTTAGTGATCATCGAAGATGTCGTTGCGGTGGACGGGGGCCGTGGCAGGGCATACCGTTCAGCGCTAATGGAAAGGTATGCAGCCAGCTTACGGTTCCGACGACTAATTGAGGATCTCAATTGGTTCTGGGGATTTGGTGGGCTTCTGATGGGCATTGTTTTGATATGTATACTTGCATCGGTGGGCAGTCAGACCTTTGCGTTTGGGCTGGGTAAGTTCTTGATTTGTCTTTTCAATTTCATTTCTATTCCTGTTGTTATGTACCCCACCTTATGGCCCATATCCTGAAATTTCTCTTATAACGAGGGTGAAGGCTAACATAATTCTTTTGTTTCTTCGGATAGGGTGGACTGTCCCATGGATTTGGGCAGGTGTCTGGGCAGTCATCACGACTTACTGGGTGAAATCTGCGCTGAGGGAAGAGAAGCTTACCTGGTCGGAGAGCCAGAAAGTAGTGGAGGTGTAGAACTTGGCTTCTGGATATTTCACTTAACGAGGTCGACGAGGTATAAGGATATGTATCGGATTCAAACGAAATGAATTTCAGAATACCATTGTTCGGAGAAGGAAGTTTCAGCTTTCAATTTCACAGAGACGTAGGAAATATATATATATATATAACAGGTCGGCGCTGTGCTTGTACCCAATTCCTGGGCCGTGGAGTTGGAAAGAGCTGTCGAGGCTTGGCTTAGCCTTAGTAAGTTATTTGTAAATTGAGACCTAAGTAAAACTGTAAAAGGCAATATATACGTCTGGGGAATGTAGATGCATATGTACACTGCCCTCGAGTAGCCAAGGTAAGATGGAGGCGTATGTGTCTTGCATCTCACTCAACTAGATAGGAGTAGGGTAGCACATTGACAGATTAATCGCAGCATTTGACGTATGCCCGGTACAAGAAATAAATACGCCTTAAATGGGAACCCAGATGCGTTCTATCAATGTCTATCTTTGCTGCCCTAGAGGTACAAGAAGGCTTGTCATATAGTAGGCTGAGCCACACTCCAATGCAAGATCAACTATACTTGATCGAGTATCATTGTGTGTGAGGGCCAGACCTGGCGAATAGGGGTCTATACCTTTGGCTAAAAGGTGAATTAGGGTGACTACCAAATGACTAAATCAAAATGTGAAAGGCAACATACGTCTACGACTTTATTGGTCTTGTGCTGCTGAGCTGTATGATAGGGTTTGATCCTGCAGGTGTCTCGCGCAGATCTTGTCAAAGTGCTGGTCCAAATCCTCTAGCTATGATACTACCACCAACGCCCCATTGATGGCTCGGCTTATTGGCGGCTCCGGCGTACATCTCTATATAGCACCGAGGTTGTGGTCAAGCATAGGGCCAAACCACCATCTCCTCATCCTCAGTTCTACCCAATGCCATCCAGCTATGTCTTTTAGAGATTGCCCTGGTACGTCAACCTTGTGTAGATGACTAACAAAACGTGCGGTATACGCCTTCATGAACGGTTGTGAAACTAGCTCTTGTGAGAGCTTGTGTACGCCTTGGGTGTCACCACCCTCGTGCGGGAAAAGATGAGCCACCGCGAAATAACGGAGCGACATGCCTAGCGGAAACGTTGAACACAGTGCTCCATAGCCTCCGGCATAACGCCCATGTGATAAAGGTATAGTGTGGATTATCCTGTGGGCGTGCAAAGTCGGGTTCCTCTCATCGCGGTAGTTGGGGCATCCTGGAGAAGAAAAGGGAATTGTTAAGAAGTGTGCGAAGCTTGGACCCTGATGCGCCTCATTCGCAGCCATATAAATTGTCGTGTATAGGAGGATACAGCAGCTCCAATAGAGACAGCTCATGTGCAACAAGGCAAAGTCCCTGTCCACCTGTGGCATCTGGGGAGGATTCCCCGATTGGGTGTAATCAAAGGTCTGCAGCTTGTCTCCCATGGTTTCCTTCCAGGCAAGTAACATTTGCTCAATGCGGATACATTCGCCAAGCAAGTTTTCCCAGCCACGTAGACTACGCTCCGCAATAGGAGATGCTCTAATGGTGTCCAGCTCTTCCAATAAACCCGGAACTTGAACCAGAATGTCAGTCAGACCATCAAGTAGGGACTTTGTTCTATATTTCCAGGGTGCTGACATCCAGTTGTTGTCGCTGAAGGGCGAACGCTTTCTTCGTCCGACGCCTAGAATGAACTACACATATACCAATGAATATGGATGGTCCGTTGACGGAATCCGATGGTGGAAAACTTACTGACACAATCCGGCCGCTTACGAGTAAGTACATTCCGGCTTCGCTCCAATCCTTCTGCCAGCCCCTGTTCATGAACAAGGCCATTTCACCGTCAGTATGGGCGTAGTACCCCTTGATCTGGAGGGTAGGGTTTTCTTTGTCCGAACCACGGGACTCGGCGCCATAGAGAATCTGGCAAGAATTAGTGACCTGATAGTCTTCACCCGAAGCACAACTTACCTCATAAAAGCGGAACAGCCGAATAGCGGCCAAGATCCCATCTCCCGAGGCCCTTTGTGGATCCCGCAGGGCTGTGCGCATTTCCTGCAGCGCTATGCTGTGTGCCTGGACGCCCTTGAACTTCAGCTGGCTGTCGTTGTCTCTCGTAGCCAGCATTAACAGCCCGTGAGCAAGGGTAATGAAGCGCAGAGTTTTCTCAGACCGACATAATTTGTCAAGGTGTCTTAGCCACCCGGCAGAGGATATCTGCGCGGCCTCCTTCGTGAAAAGGCGACCGTTTGGTAAGAACGCTGCCAGATAAAGACCCACGTAGGTAACCTCTCTGGTACTTCTCGCCAGCGACTCATGCAGGGTGATTTCTGGAGCCCCACGTCTACGAGATTGTACGCTGCCGGTACACTTGGTGTACTTGCGATTCTCGCCGTCTGTCGAGTTGATCCAGACCGAATAGTTGCGAGAGTATCCCTCGCATACGAGGTTAGCTTGAACGCACTGGGTACAAAAAGGGGTCTTCCTGTCGCACTGTTTCCCAGACGGGGCTATCAGCATGAGACAGTCACAGCTCGGGGTTCAACGTACGCCTTTTTTCCTCCTGCGACATGTCGCACACCCGCCATATTGACCGGGCACCCCGACCATTTTTTCTTAGTCGAGTGAGTGGGCCAGAGGGATACAGCGAGGGATTCAGGCTTGCGCAGAAAGCCCCATTGTTTTTGGAAGCAGGAGTGGAGGACGTGCGCCTTTCAACCCCGCAGTAGACCTTGGACTTGGGGCGGGTTGGCCAATCCAAACCCATCATCCCATGAGACGGGACGCTGGCAATTTCGGACCCGCCCCAACACAGGGTGTCAGCCTGACCCTGCAGCGCAAGGCTGTAGGGTCATGTGACTCTTTTCTCCTGATGATTTGTAGAAGTGACTATCTTCATCTTACTTATTACCCGAGAGCTCTTTGCAGTAGGCCATTACCATTACATTATCATCTTTTTCACTACGGGATGCCACTGTGACAAGTGAGTTCTTGATCCATAGGTACTCCCATACTAGTGTATCTGCCCGAACAACTCAGAATAACCAATAAATGGACACGGACACTAATAAAATCCCTCCCTCTGGATTTTTTCACTTGGTACACCAATAGCCCGCAATCCTTCCACAGCAGCGTCTGCGAATGCCTTCGGGCCACATATGAACACTTCTTTTTCTCTGGCGCTCGGTTTCCAATATTCCGGCCCAACTCTACCTTCAAATACCGAGAGGCTCGTATTTTCATGCTTCAAAGTCCTAGTATCCAAGTCGAGGGGGCGGCTGGTGAACAGATCTATTTTCACCGTGACGGTCGGTGGAACCTTACCCATAGCCCGTCTGATCAGAGTGAGCATGGCATCTGGCTCTCTTGTTGATAACACGAGCACAATTTCGCCTCGCGCAGCCTTCTCGCACTTACTCAAGGCATTCAGCATGGCCAGAAAGGGTGTCACCCCGATTCCACCGGCAATCAGGAGCAGGTTGACCTCCTCTTTATTCAATGCGAAATCCCCAGTGACCCCTATAATATCTGAGACAACATTCCCCTTTAGAGAAACAGGATAATCCCGTCTATTGGGAGGGGACATCCTAAGCAGATTGAACAAGGCCGTTGTCACAATGCCACCCTTCATTTCCCGCATTGTTAATTCAAACCATGTAACATCAATCCCCTCGTGCGCACTAGATACTGTCCAGGTTCGCACGCGGTCATCATTAATTGACCCAGGTGCCGAATCCGCCATATGCTGGTACTGCGGTGGACCTATCCAGTCCATAAAATCGAGGACGATAGCTTGACCCGGTCGGAGTCTTAACGGCTGAACGCCGCTTTTAGACACGACCTTGAACCTGAAGACAGCCAGGTCATTAGAAAGTTGCATACCTGTTTCAAGCACCGCCTTGTGCCTTTGCATCCCACCCGCGTACGTTTCTCCTTCTTCGACCAGATATTTAACTTTGGGAGTGTAGGGGCTTCGCCCGACCTCCGATCCATTGCGCTGTCGCAAGGGAAGCGCATTTCGCACAAGCGTAAACCCTGTGGTTTCCAGAACAGTAACCGTCGCATGTCTAAACATCATTTCGAGGGCAGCTAGCCCGACCAAATTCCTTGCTGTACCGGTCAAGTACAGGATGTCGCCGGTCGTGAACGAAATGATCGTAAAGCCCGCTAACCCGCTCGACTCAATATTGCCAAGACTACTCATGAATCTGTTTCCAGAGTAATCAGGCAACACAATGCTCCGTCGATCTGATGGCCTCACCCGTAGAAACCCCGGAAAACCGCCACGAGAGTTCATGCCCGCGTGTGAAGGGAATGTTGCTGCGGAGGCGGGGTCAGTTCTGTGTATTGTTGCCACGAAGACTGTGTCGGCGGATTTTATCATATCGATTACTTCGTCAGGTAATCCCTCCGTCGGTGCCATATGCAGTGATTGGTATGCAATGTGTGGTTTCGCCCATGGGTATGGATCGAGTTGACGCACATTGATATACTTCGGACAATTACTGTGATCTCGCTCAGTCCTGATTCCCCTTGTTTTGACTAGTCTCGGATGTGAACGTATACATACCCCAACGCCTCGGTGATGTCAACACCAAAATCATAATCCTGGTCTGACCTCGCCTTCACCATGTCAATCTTCCCGGCGAACTTGTTCCTTCTCCGGGTGGAAAACTCAATCCCCAACCCAGCCGTCAGTAACCTCTCCTGCAATATTGGGCCTTTTATTTGATCATCTTCCAGCGCTTTCCACTCCCGAAGCGTTTCTAACATTGGATCTCCGTCCCATAATCTTGCTCGGAAAACCAACGACTTTAAGCTTGGACTTTCTACGAACCCGACTGTTCCTGTTGATCCTGCAACGATTCCTGCCCAGGGCCGTCCATCGGCATCCGTTGTCGTCAGCGGAATAAATGGCAGTTTCGAAGTGTGAAACAATTGATGTTGTTCACGGAGTTGGTTTTCGACCGCAGTCCAGTGAGATGACACGGCGGTCGCGTAACCCAGCTGGCGTTGGATGGCGACTTCGCCGGGGTGCCAGCCTTGAAGGGCGGGAATAGCCATTGCCTTTATTTTCCAGTTGAATTTGATCAAGACTTCGTGGGTTGAGGTTCCTATGAGTTTGTATCCTTACGATCACAATGAGAAGGCAAGTATTTGGGGTAGAAATCATTGAATTATTGATTCATGTCTCTGTCATGGCAATCCCGTCAGTTTAAAGTTATCCGAGCTGACAAATGCGCCACAAACTCTCAGATGTCTAGACTTCCGCCGTGACTTCGAATACGAGTATATTTTCCCTTCGCATATGATCTACAGTACTAAGACATCATATTTATTGGCAAGATTGGTTGCATATATTATCGACTGGGTACATCCGGAAGTTTTCCGTTTATGGATCGATGTTGCGAATATGAATAGGCCACAGGACAGATAATTTGAGGCACAGTTTAATTGACCTCGACCTGTTGTACCGTAGTGTGCTAAGCTCGGCGCACCCCATACTGGCTTTCCTGGCATGATACCGTATTCCTGCACTCCTTAAGGTCCTATCTCCCGTCACAATATTGCAAAACATACCATCCATTCCTAAAAGTTAGTACAATCCTTACAGCCTTCATGCGTAAGACCCGAACTTACTTGAAGTATAATGTTGCTATGTATGTCAGATCCGTTACGTTCACCATCTCTCTCATCGTAGACAGATACTCGTCGGATTCTAATAATCGTCGGGAGCAGTTTATTTCTGATATTATGACAGCTAATCGGTGCAGTGGTGCCAGCCTGGGACGCGTTTAATCGTGGAGTGAAGCCTTGCCAGCCTGAAGGCTGGGCTGCTAGCCGCTTCTCGGGAAGTAATAACATTACCTAGAAGGGACTCGCGCTACAATTCTGTTTTATCTACATGTACTTAAGCTATATATAGAAGTACAGGCGTCTCCGGGCCAACTGGGTATGTCTGTTACTGAAATCACATTTGCAACAGTTGCTGATCGGGAGTACCATGAGAGGTGTGAGTGAACATTTGCCTTGGGAATGGTCGTGTTATATAAATCTAGCCTAGGTGGGCAGTCTGTGGTTTGTATACTGTCATTCAATCATACAGCTTTCCCCCTCCGATGGAGTAGGAGTCGAGCAAGGCCAGCTGTTGTGAGCCCCTTTCCTGGTATCTTATGATATGCTTTCTGATCTTAGCACCGCAAAGATAGGGTGTAGTCCTTCCTGGCCCTAGGGGAAGATAGGTTATCGGTCTATTGGGTATTAGTATTACTGTTACGATGGATTCGCCAGGACAACAGATGTATATATTTCGCCTCTCCTCTCCCCACAATCTCCTTGCATACGGCGGCGGGTGCTGGCCTCCTTCGCACCCTAACGGCCAACATTTTTCTGCTATCGAGACTTGAAATGCTATGTGTTAAGTTTTGCAGTACCTGCATACAACTTACTATTGGTGGTAGGATATGCTAATGGACTGAGAAATCGCCCTTACGGTCGTATCGTGATGGCCGGCGTTGTAGACCATGATAGGAAGGCAATCCAAGCCTACCATTTCAGGACTGCGGCCGCGGAACATACTGCTGGTCCTCAATGTAAATCCGAGCGCGACCATCATTGAGAAGCCCAAGGGAGGCGAGCCCGCGGCTACCGATGGCGAGCACAGTTCCTTGTCCCGGATTGGTATAGTTTCCGGGTACATCATATGTCCACACACTGGGTCCCAAGCGTCTAAGTGCCGAATGCATGATTGGTCAGGTAGGGCTATGGCACCCTGATACAGGGCACATACAATAACAGTATCTGTATGGCTGGCAAAGTATTCATCGCGGTAACGCATGTACAAGGTGGTCACTTCTGCCATTAACCGACGAACATTGTTATCACCAGCATACGGGTCGGATGCTGATGCCGTCGGGCGAGGTGGAATGTGAGCAACAATGGCACCATGGGATGATGCTATTACAATGGCGGAGCATGCTCCAAGGCCTTCTGTGCCGATAGCAAACATTTCGTGTAAAGAGACCACTCTGACAACGTTCATGGGCACAACAACCACGTTTGCCGGGTGAGCACGCACCCAACGAGCTAATTGCGACATTTTTATATTCTGTTTAAGGGATCAGTAGGCACTCTCTTTTTCCTAGTAGACAACTACTGTCGCTCTAAAAGTCGCTCCCGAACCCAGCTACTTATATATTGTCGCAGCGCGAAGAACTTTATATCACCGGAATATGCCTTCTGTTCTTTACTAGGGACTCGAGCTGGGGCTCCCAATGTGGAATTTCTATATTTGTAAACTAGGCAGTCTCCGACGTTGATTGTAGGGTGAATCGCATGTTTCCGTGCCCCTGGGCACATTGCGAATGAGCTATATACCGAGCCGTACATCAGCGGCTATTGATTGTGTCATCTTTCCGTATTGTAACTCAGCGTTGGTTTAAATACACCGTGAGCCCCAACCTTCTGAGCCAAGCTGTTACAACCTGCAACCGTCCCACAAATCTATTGTTCATACAGTCTCTGACAACCACGATCAGTTATGAACGTACAACCTGCTTCAGGTTCGGCTGCGCCTTCTACTTGGGGTGAGATTTATCAAGTTTCAGGCCGGACATCTCTGGAAATCCTTCTGAAAGCAAGAGAGCTATGCCTGAGTGGGGATATCCAACAATTCCGCGACCTCATTGACTCGGCGCAATCGTCCTCGGAGAACTTTCATATAGATGACTTCGGTATTATCATGGGGCAGGCTGTCGAGCAAGACAGCGTGATCTTCATGCGGGCGCTGATGGATCGTGGCTTTCCCACGCATTCAATCTACGCCCGGAACGCGACCAGATTCAAATCCAAGAATGCACTCGCCCTTCTCATTGAGAAGGGATGGGATATCAACGAGCCAATGTGCGAGACCCAACCCCCCGTCCTAGGGTGAGACAATACTCCAATCCTTCGCGAGATAACATTTTACTAATCCCTCTCAGCATTGCCATAGAGGACGAAGAGATGACAACTTGGTTTTTGGATCATGGAGCCGATCCTAATAGACGTACATTCATAGACCTTACCCCGCTTTCGTGGGCTGTTGAAAGATCACCCGTTTCCATTATCCGCCTCATGCTGGATTATTGCCCAAATATTCATCCAGGCCAGCTGCTTCATCATGCGGTCCAACGCGAATCTGACACTATCGAAGTACTGGAAATGTTGATTCAGAAGGGAGCGCCTCTTAACACTTCCGTGCACGAAGACCTTCCTACCTTATCGATACTTTGCTTTATGCCTCTAGGAACTGCTCTGCACCGGGCATGTGAGCTCGGAAAAGTGGATGTGGTTCGCTATCTCCTCAGCAAAGGAGCCGACCATAGTGTCAGAGATAGTAATGGACTTACAGCTATTGAACTGGCTGCTAGATTGAACCAGCAAGAAGTGGTTGAAGTGCTGCAGAAACATAGAAACGTCGGAAATCCCGTTGACCACCCCTGATTCTACTTCTTATATTCATGTAACAAGTTTGATGCGGGATTTGATACGTATTGTTGGAATTATTATTATAACTAGCTTCTCAATGACTGACAGCCACTCTTCATTGGCTCCAGTGAATAAATGATGGAAGTATTCATGAATTGCACCGTGTTATATACACCATAACCCTTGAGCCTTTCGGAAACCCGTATCGCTACCAACGCCTGAGAGGCTTGGGAAAGCCTCGCATAGTATATCAAATAGAAGCAGGCTTAGTTTTATATGGCCTACTGCCATAGAAATGACTGTAGATGAATTGAAGTGAATCCTGGCATCATGGGTCTTTCCCGGGGTATAAACTCTCGAAAGGCTTGGTCCTCGACTCCTGTATATATACCCTCAATATGCCTCGCAAGCAAACTCGCCCCAAAAGTTGTCAGTGTCATCCCAATGAGTATCTGGACCAACACAGTATGTATATCCTACTTGCAAACTTGTATCGCAATCACTCGTCGACAATGACGGATTAACAGCCAGGAAAAGACTTGATGGGATCCCCTGCTTGATACAGATTGTTGCACAGGAGTCTCCCTGCTGAACAGTATACCACTTCCCGCAATAGCACGTAGTCCCCTTAGCAATTGTAGAATTAGTGGGCGCATATTGTACAACATTGGTATATCCGTCGCTGATCCCCGGGCACGGCGATCCAGTACCGGTCACATTATGGCTTCCACCCTGGGGCGAAAGGCAGAGCACACTTCCATGAACCTGGCGGGTTGTTTGCAGGTTCGTGCAATCTACATTGAGCCAAGGGTTGTATCTTCGGACTTCACCAAACCCAATCGGCTGCGCCCATTCAATGGACAGACATGTATCATTGTCTTGGAGAGTATACTGGGTATCACAGCTGAGAGGCATGCAGAGCTGGCGTCCGGGAATCAGCTCACTGCAATCATTGACAAGCATCGGGTTGGCGAGCTGAATGACTGCGGAGGCGACATGGTATTTATAAGCTAGAAGATCACACGTGTCACCCTCCGAGGTAGTGTGCGTAATCCCGGACATGCAAATGGGTCTGTCGACCTCGTCCTCGGTGTATAGCGGCTTGTGAAGATCAGTAGGGCCGGAGAGGCCACATTCTGCGTTAACAGTCTCGAGCGCGTCCTTGTCCACGTCAGTGTAGGCCGCATAGGGGCTGGCTTGTCTCATCTCCAAAGAGGTAGTGAAACAATACGAGCACATTTCTGCTAGCGTCATTGATCGGACACTGTCAACGATAGTAAAGTGTGAGAGTACATCTGGACAGTATTTCTTGGTATGTGGATCCCGTAGGCAAGTCAAGTTGTAGCCTGCGTAGATATAACCACCGGCCGCCACAGGGTCGGTGTCATCAATGGTCTGATTGAGACAGCTGTTGGCAACGTTTGTCGTCCACATTTGCAAAGACTCACCACAACCCTGATCACAGACTTCATCTGCCAAGGTATTGTTATCGATGTATTGGCCAATTCCTGGATTAGAAAACTTCATCTCCAGGTAGGGGTGACAGAGGATCTTCTGGGAGAGGGCGGTCTTGCAGGTATCAGTGAGACCATCAAGCCATTTGGGCTGATAAAGTTGGAATCCGGGGAACTTTCGTGCACCAATGGTGGTATTGGCTAGGCGAACCCACGCAAGGATAGAAGACATGAAACCGTTCACATTATCGGCTGACAGAGTGGGATGTTCATTGGTAGGGGTCACCATCTCAGCAATACCCTTTGTAACCAGATTATACAGCCACGTATTCGTGCTTTGGGAGATTCCGACCGCATGTTGCTGGCAACTCTCCGTGTCAAGGCAGTCCTGGCTGTAAGCGGAAAACCAACTGTAAATGCCTTGCAACGATTGTTAGTTACATGAAGATGCAAGATAGATGTGTGAAAGGCGAGTCTCACCTGCTCCCATTGAGTAAACCGAAGTCGAATCTATAATTCGAAGGGCCCAAGATACAGGACATGTCTGCGAATCGGAGTCGCAGTCCGAAAAGGTGGGATCGTTTGGGAAAAGCCCAGGTGAAAATGGGGACGGGGCCGGGGGCACGTTTTGGAAATAAGGTGACTCTGTCTGAATCATGCCCATATAGAGGTCTCGTGCTTGGGAGACCTGGTATTGATAGAGGACATTGTGCTCGGATGCAGTTCCATACAGCCATGTAGGACCTTGGCTCTCAACAAGAAGGCCTCTCGCAGAATACACATCGATCTGCGCTTGATCCTGAAGGTCCAAATCATGATCGGCTACCCAGAGCCATATGTTCTCAAGGTATGCTGAGGATTGAGATGTGAGGTGTAGCAACAGCGAGGCTGCTTTGCACGCGGGAAGAACAACGCCCGAACCTTTCGGGCATTCGTCCGCCTGTAACTGGGAGCCGGTAGCACCCCCGACACGGAAATGTGAATCTATACGCAACCTTGGTTAGACAGTACTCTTTCAAGCATGCCGGGGACACATATACGACACATACCCCACATTCCCGCAGAACCCTGAATGACTTGGTGAACATTCCATTCCATCAGGACTGCACCCGCTGTAGGACCCGACACTGTGAACATTAAGCTCTGGATTTCGACTATGCCTCTGTCGCCTACTTGTCCCACCTGGACCGCGATATGGGGGTTTTGTTCGTCTTGAAACTTTGGTCCAGTAGCCATGATCTGAGACCAAACCTGACCCATAATTCGGGAATTCACAGGCACACGCAAGGTGTCTCTGATGATATAGACACCGTATGGGAAGAAGACGATCGATGACATGTTCGCTGCTCGGTCTAAGATGCTATTCAAGACCGCAGTATCATCGGTCTTTCCGTCTCCTGCTGCACCCCAATCTTTGACATTGATCACTTGACTCATGCCAATATCTCGGTACGTCGGCCGGCGACGCAAGTAAAAGTTTGGTTCAATATAACCAATCGTTGTTAACGGAACGCTGCGGTTAGTTCTGGGAATATCCTGGCCGTTGTAGAATGTGCTCTCAGCACCTGTCGTCACAACTCGTCCGAATCCCCAGGAAAATACTGGTACATTGGAACCACCGGCCATGAGTGTCTTTCCCTGTGCACTGTCTAGGATCGCAGTGTCCACCTCAATGAATACGACCCCTTGTAGTAAAAAGGACGTTGAGTTCTCTGCCAGAAGTGTAGTCACAATCCCGGTTTGAGTATGGGCAATGACGGCATCTACCAGGATTAAAGAGCCAACGGACTGCCCAGTGCTCTTCGGACCGCCAGCCTGGATTGACAAGTTGAGGCGTCAGTGAGATTTGACTGGATATAGTTGGTCTGGAAAAAGGAACATACCCCGCCAACAATGACAATACCATTTGTACAATTCTCGACCACCACGTCCTGCATCGTCCAGGCCCAATCCCAATGCACCTGCAAAGCAGTTTTGCAATTCATGAATGTCAAAGACGTACTCGTAAACTGCGTTGCCAAAGTATGCCCTGAAGGGAGGTCAGATAGAGGGGTACATCGTTGGGAAAAAGCGTAGACGTACCCGAAATTACCACCAACGAAAGTTAGATTAGTTAGGAATCCGCCACTACCATTCTCCATGTAGATACCCTATCAAAGGTTAGTACATCGTGACAAGTAGTTCGGAATGATCTCCTTCCGGTGCTCTACCTGCTGTGTGGTGAGGCCGTCCTGCATCATATAGAATTCTATGTTCTCCAGGGACGTCCCCTGAGCTACCTGCCAATGAATAGCACAAACATAGGCATTTGGATCTGTGCGAGTAATGTCCATCTTGAAGTTCCGGATAGACCTCAAAAAGTTGTTCTGATTAATATACCACTCGGTGTCGTCACCCGTGTACACGTCTGAGGTGATCACTCCCAGACCAACAAAACTGGATGCGGCTAGAATGGTTGGGTAGTCAAATGGCTGTAACCACTGTCAGCAAGGTCCAACATAGGTGCAATAGGCAGGACATACATTTCCGTAGAACTCCGTATTGTAATATTGGATAATGGGCGAGCTGACAAGATATTTCCCTGCTGGGAAATATACAAATGCTGGATAGATAGTGCTAGAACCACACTCTGCTCCACACCGTCCGCCATCGGATATAGCTTTGTTGATAGCGGCAGTATCATCCGTGATACCATCACCTGCCCATATTCAAGATCAGTATCGCCTTCCAGTAATAGCAAGAGCACAAAGGTTACCTTTAGCGCCATAGTCCCTCACGTTTCGCCATACCTGTCATAAGTCTTAGCTTGAATCAGTGTAACAAAACCTTTCGCACTCACTTTATACCCATCCGGTGCATATGGGCTGGACCCGCTGTCGCCCATCTGCGTAAGCCAGAAGTCGGTGGTGGCACGTTTCTTCAACTCAGTGTGTATCTCGGGGCTGTCCTCAGGTTGTCCAGTGTGCACGTAGCCATCGAGACCATTAGGCTCAACGTATTTCTGTTTCGGGACGTTTGTATCATTATTGTCATACTTGCGATATTTCGATACCACGAGCGAGATGTCAACACCGTAGTCGGTTGGTACTGGCTGGGGGGAAGCTTCAGCTACCAAACGGGCGGCCTCGGCAAGCTCTGGAGGAATTGAGTATGTATATGTCTGGTCCCCCTTGCGGCCACTTCGCTTGGTAGCATTTTTGGCTGCATTGTGAGTAGAAGCATCCTCATAGTTCAACGCCGGCGCCGCCTCTGCCTGGACAGTAGAAGCACCCGCTTTGAAACTATATTGATTGAATTGCGGATGAGCTAGTCGTCCTTCATTCATTACCGCAAGAGCTTCCTGGGCTTTCTCCACCATGAGCTCAGCCTCCGACAGACTGTCCAAAGAAGGTTCCGGCGTAAGCACGGGCAGTGATGTTGAAGTAGGTATACCCGAACCCAAGCGTCTTTTGTTGTGGTGATGGTGGTGGCCATCATGGCCATGTTGAGTTGATGCCCACGTACACACGAGCAAAGAGAAGACCACGAAGAATGAAAGAGGCGGTCTTAAGAACCCACGTTGGGTGCATCTTGCATGGCGAACCATGCTCACAGGATTCCAACTCGTAACAATAACTGCACGGATATCGAGGCAGAGTGACTGATAACCTTATATGTGCGAGGGAAGGGGTTCATATTGTGGGTAGTCGTGACCTCTCAAGGGGCAGTCCTTTTGTTACCACGATACCAACTTTAGTAAAATACCTCAATGCGGAAACAACTGCACCTCCTCTCACCTTCTCCGGAAAGTCGGATACTTACTTAGCCAGGTGTTTTTCGGCTCTCGGTCAGCCAGGGACACACGACCAACCCCTTTACCTCAAGCGTCGGATGTCGCCGGAGGTGGCCATCGCAGACCCGGACACCATCAATTCTGAAGTGGATTAGGAAGGCCGTGAACCATGTCTACAAAAGTCCCATGTTTCACTTGCCAGATCTACTAGTACTGCACAGTAAAACGGAGAGGAACCGGTTGAACGCCTAGTGCTGTATGATGGCCCCAGCACAGTGTACTAGGCCATTAGAACTAGGTTGCAAACGACGAACGGCCGTCAGGTCGAGATGGCATTGTGGCGATGGTATATCACAGGGCTAGGAGCAAATTCCTAATCAGGGATGCCGTCAATGGGTCAACGCCGGCGAAAGGTGAGACATTGTCGGAGCAGTACTCCGTACCGCATTCAGGGTCTGCGCTCGGTGTGTGCCACCGAGGAACACCAAGTGGATGGATGATCTGAATAAGGCCATTGAGAGCGCGATACCTCTTCATTAGGTTCAATAGTGATATTTAGCGGATCGTCCGGCGCAGGCTAACGTGGGTGCCAAAGTGGGCGGAGGCTCGATAATGAGGCTTCATTTCCCGATTTTGTTTTTGTGTCGACGGACACTTCTTGGCATCGGCAACGGCCTTGGCATCGACCGGTGGTCTTGGCATATCTACATCCCTTCTGTTCTGTCACCTGTGCTTATACCGGTCTATACACGGTCCCTAATTCCCTCAATGACATTAGAGCTTGGCAATAGCTGTAATTAAACCCAAAGTCTTTATCTTGAGCAAGCCACATTAGGCAATCTGGTCCCATATCCATGGATTCTTTGTTTTAATACCAGAAACCCCTATTAGTAACATGTGTATACAACAGGACAGGAATTTCCCAGCCTAACATCTAGTCACGCTAGCTCATAGGTATGCCAGCGTGGTTCGCGAGGTTACATGCGTCCTCGGCGGGTTGGTCCACCCTCTGGCCAGAAAGAAACCATTTATGGATAGTGAAGGCGAGATGTCTATCCTTTGGACCCAGCCCCTGTAGCCCTTTGAGAATCTAGCCACTGCAGTGCTATATCCTACTCAGACCCGCAATGCCTTAGCTTCAGGAGGGTGTCTGAAGCTGCTTTCGAACGTAATAGCGCAGTCTTACTATCCGGGTGTCGGATGACTTCGGCAGCAGACGAATTGATGAAGGTGGTAGAGACATCGGTGTTGTATAACTTGACTAGAAGCCCCTCGCCTTTCCCCCTTTTAACTTTGTATCTCACTCTGTTTGCATACCCCGGGTAATTTTGGAATCGGTTACCGTTCGGGCGGTGCAAGGAATGGCCCTCCGTACGGGAACTGGCCTATTGGCCTTGTCATTCGCTTTCCTCGCTATCTTCTGCAATATTTCAACTGTTTTGGCACAGAGCTGTAGTGCTTCAAATCCCTGTGCAACAGGATGCTGCTCAAAGTAAGCCCTACCCCTTCCGGGCTGGTTTCACACGATCAGGGAAGTAATTGTGCTCACCATTCCGGCCTTGCAGATACGGGTACTGTGGAACTGGAGAAGATCACTGCGTAAGTCTTCGGGGCTCTCTGTCGTTTACACACTGATCAAATCTAATTGCAAATCTCTAATTCTAGGGAGCAGACTGCATCGCAAACTGTGATTATGAGGCCACGACAGAATGCAGTGCAACAAAGCCGTGCGCTGAGGGATGCTGCTCCAAATTTGGAGTCTGTGGATACGGTCCTGACTGTATGTGAACGCTCGAATACAGAAATCTTTCTATGCGCATACTTCCCTTTCACCAAGCTGACTTCCACAAGATTGCGGTAAAGAAAACTGCGTCGCTAATTGCGAACGTACATCTGAATGTGACCCTGGGAACTGGGGACTGGAGTACTCGAGTTCTTCCACCTGCCCATTGAACGTCTGCTGCAGCAAGTACGGATTCTGTGGAACGACCGAGGAGTTCTGTGGTGACAAAAAGGTCAAACGTCCTTCTTGTGTACCTTCACAAAGGCTGCGGCGCGTCGTTGGTTATTATGAAGGCTGGGCAACCACAAGGCCTTGTAAAGCATTCTGGCCAGAGCAGATACCCAAGGGAGTCTATACTCATCTAAACTACGCCTTTGCAACTATTGATCCGATTACATTCGAGGTCCTTCCACCCACGGCGTTGGAAGCTAAACTTATGACTAGACTAACTTCACTTAAAGACCATGACCCTGGCCTACGAGTGAATATAGCCATCGGCGGTTGGAGCTTCAATGACCCAGGTACTACGGCTTCGGTTTTCACACAACTCGCTGCTTCCGAAGACAACCAGATGAAGTTTTTCCGGTCATTAGCTTCTTTCATGGCCACTTACAACTTTGACGGCGTGGACATTGACTGGGAATACCCCGTGGATAGCGACCGCAGTGGACGAAAAGAGGACTTCCAGAACTTTCCTAAATTCATGTTAAACCTGAAAAATGCGCTGAAAGGCACTGGTGGCCGTGACGAGTTAAGTCTAACACTTCCCACGTCCTATTGGTACTTGAGGAATTTCGATATCAAGGCACTTGCCAAAAGCGTCGACTACTTCAATTATATGTCATATGATCTTCATGGCACATGGGATAAAGGTATTTCTTTTGATAACACCTTCGAAACCAGATAGTCAAACTTACACCTCATTATTCCAGGAAACAAGTGGACTGGCGAGTACTTGGATGCACATACCAACCTCACCGAGATCACAGATAGCTTGGACCTTCTGTGGAGAAATGATATATCTCCGGACAAAGTAGTTATGGGTGTCGCCTTCTACTCACGAGCGTTCACTGTGGAGGATACCAAGTGCATGTTCGTCCTCTTTCCACCATGACTGATAATCAAGATACAGGCGGAATACTGATGCGTGCTGTTGTGCATTTAGGGACCCGGGATGCCGTTTCGTGTCTGTATCAGATCCTGGGGATTGTAGCCGACAGACTGGCATACTCATGAACAGCGAACTTGATGATATCCGAGCCAATAAAAGTCTTACACCGTCGTTGGACAAAGAGGCTGCCGTGCAGATCCTCAAGTGGGGTAATCAATGGGCCTCTTACGATGATAAAACGACGTTCAAGCTGCGCATTGACTTTGCGAAGAAAACATGCCTAGGTGGTATTATGGTGTGGGCTGTGAGCCACGATACCTACGACGGCGCTTACTCGAGCGCTCTGGCAAGTATATCCCCTCAGATCAAACCCATTAAGAAGCTTCAAGTCTCGCCTAATGGTTTGACTGTCACGCGAGACGAGAGGATCAGACAGTGCAAATGGACCTCATGCGGCCAAACCTGCCCAAGTGATTACGTTGCCATCTCGCGATCAGACCCGAAATATCGAAAGGGCGAGCTGATGCTGGATTCGATCCGCTGCCCCAAGGGAGCCAGTCACACTTTGTGCTGTCCAAAGGAGGACGTCCCCAAGTGCGGATGGTATACCCACAACAATGGAAATTGTAGCCCGGACTGTCCATCAGGCTATTTCGAGATCGGTTCAATTTCCTCCAACGGACTGTGTCATCACGACTACGAGGCAGCTTGTTGTGAATCGAACAAGGATTCAACAGGCCTCTACAATACACTACAATGGTCCGAGGCCCCAATGTGTGACTGGGGTGAGTGCCCGGTAGTAGACGACAAGAAATCAACCACCCTCGCTCTCGCAACCGCAGGAAGCGGAGACGCTGTGTGTAATGTCAGAAGTTTTTCTTAGGACGACGGCATAGCTGTCCAGGAGCGGAAGTTGTGCTATGACTCAACCCAGGACAAAAAGACATGGGACAATTGTGACTGGTATGATTCAGTTGATAGTCCACCAAAAGGAAAACCAGACGATTACTGTGTGGATTCATGTCCCTCGGACATGGTGCGACTGGCGACATACAGATATGATGAAAACTGCGCAGGCGGTGTTCGTGCCTTCTGTTGCACCGACAATTATTATACTTCGAAAAGCCAAACCAACCCCGAGATGGCCGACTTCCGGAGCTCGTTGAATAATTACCTGGAAGATGGTACCTGCTCCATGGGTGAGAGTGCCAGTCTCAGTCGCAGAGATGTCTTCGGGCGAGACACAGACAAGTACGAGGACCTGCAGTTTCTGATTCCGCTCCTTTACACGTTGCTAGTGAAGAATGATACCGACCTCAATGCCAAGGAGAAGTTAGAGGCTGGCTATTGGGATGACTGGGCGAAGAGTAACTCTTTGACTGGACTTGTTCTTAGTACGCTGAGATCGTTCGTCCGGCAAACAAGGTTGTGGTATGAAATGGGAGGCAAGTATGTCGCACAGAACATTTTGTGCCGTCCTACTACTTGGAATGACATGGCACAACAAAAGTCAATTCCAGTATGTCAGGGCGATCCTTGTGATGAGGGTGCCGATCCCGATCTATGCAGGACTGCCGAACTAGACGGCGAGACGGATTATGATGACGACGATGATGATGGTAGCAGTAGCAGCGATGAGGACGACGGGACTTTGGATAAGCGAATGCTTTCTGCTCCGTCACACGGCACTTTAGAAAAGCGTGCGGCCCCGAAAACATACAAAGTGTGGTGCGCCGGAACCGGAGACTGGGTAGACGGTTTGAAGATCAAACCTGTCTATTACCCCAGCGCTGGCAGATGGCAGCCAACAGACGTCCAATACAAGGAAGCTCGAACATATCAAAGTCGTACCGATTGCGCAAACCCCTTGGTTGACCCAATGGAGAAGGACGCGAATAACTATGACACTGAACACGTGCTGGAGCTCCAGATGGTCCCGATGTTTTTCCGGTTTGCCACTACTGGAGAACTGACCTCAGGCCGTACGGCATCCTTTCAGCCCATAGATTGCACATTTTTCCTTCCAACATCTCAAGGTGGTATTGACTTCTTGCATCAGTCGGTGATGCCTAAAGCGGAAATCTATCCTGGCGACCCCTACGAGGACAGACGGGCCAAGTCACCTGAATTCAGAATTATGGCCGCACTCGGAACGTCAAAGAACAAGGAGAACTTCTATCTCCTTGAAAAAGCTGTGAATGGTATGAAGGCACGGGTAAGTACAAGATAAGCAATCTACTATAACATAGCGAACGCCCTCTAATAATTTACCGTCCAGATCTTCCGCAACGTTGATCTCGTTGATCAGACAAAATGTGCTGGCTTTATAGAGAATACCTCTAATCCGGGAATCCCACTGAAGGAAATCAAGGCAGCTATTGCAGTTTGGCATTACCTCAACGACCAGGACGTGAAGGACTCGTTTGTTGAACTTGTATCACATCTCCGTGAGGTATGGGTGGAAGTGGACTCCCGCTTTAATAATAACCAGCCCTTATTCTTACCTGCGTGGGATGAATGGTGGCATGATTACATTGAGTACCAAGTCGAACGAACCTCAACCTGGATCACAAATGGAATTGCGGCCATGCGTAAAGTGTGGAGCGATGAGAGCCATGATAATGATCCAGCGAAACTGATTGTACTGGCAGCCTTGAGCGAACTGGAAGCCTTCGAGGTTGAGATTGTCAGATATAACCACCTCATATTTCCCTGAAGCTGGGTTCCAGCAGACGGAAATACGTTGTCAGGATAGAGCGTTAACCTGTGAAAATTGCTTTGATTTCCGGTACCTAAGTCGTAGCGATCCTCGAGTGATCGAAAGCTTTACTTGAATACCAGGGTAAGCAATATAAGATGTTAGTCATTTAGAAAGGCCTCCCAGTATACGCCTAAGCTATCCTAGTAGGAAAGCAGCAGAATACTCGATCGGGAAGGTAGCAAAACGGGGGCTTCGACATCTATATTGTGTCTTACGCGCTCCCCAGCAGGGTTATTTGTCAGCTTCTTGACCGAATAGCTCAGGCTATCTCTATGAGATATTGGGAGGGTTTTAATACGAGGCTTTGTGCTTCGTGAGGATGCCCCTTTTCTGGAGGCGATGGCTAATGCTCTGACTACCTCGTCTAAGGTTATACCGTGATAGTTATACCTAGCCCTATATAGTATATACTAGTACATCCCTTGTATATGCTCTGGGTCATCTTTCTTCAAGATGTACGGTAGAGCCTTCTAAATGCCTGCTGGGGGCCTGACATAGCACGTGACAGGGTTCTACGGAGAACACATCACACAGACAGACCCACCTATATTTACAAGGCCACTTCCTATAGATCTTCATCCAAAAGACGTCTCCTAAGCCTATGTGTGGATGTAGTGGCTACTCGTAGAGAGGCCATCGTCAACCCCTTAGTATGGAGGTTCACAATGACTGAACTGCGGAAGCAGAGGCGCCAAGTCGTCCAGTCCGCTAAGGAGGAAATAGCGCAATTTTGGAGTCAAAGGAAAGGTAGCTCCACAAAGCGTCCTAAGGGGCCAAGCCAAGCCCCTGCCGAGGTATTCATTGTAGTTGAGCTAGTGAAATTTTCTGACCCCATTGCCTGTCACGAGAGATTGAGCTCGCTTATTGATTGTACCGGAGAGGATTGACCAAAACATTAATTCTGACATCGGGGAAGAGCAGATTTCTACTGCGGCCAGGCTCGTAATTCCAGGGCCAAGACCTCCTAACCTAGTGCATCTACTACTTTTCTAAACCCGTCGCGTGTGGGTGCGCTCAACTAGGCAACATTTAGTTTGGTGGGTACGTTAAGGGACTTCCTTGGCTAGCCGCCTTTGGAACCGTGGATCAATCGTGCTGTGTACCTGTCTGAACTCTTCTTATTAGACCACCTTCGTATTCCAACTTCCGCTCTACCCGTCACTCCCCATCCCATCGAAAATCATGCCTACCGTAGATTGTCTGCCTGTGGAAGTGCGACGACGGATTTGCCTTTCTGTAAGTGGCAGAATGAATTGTCTATAACTACGGAAGCAAAGACTCACAAACCCACAGGTCCGTGATTACTCATGGCATGATCTGTCCGCTCTAAGTCGAGCAAGCAAAGAATGGCATGATTTCGCAGCTACGGAGCTTTACAGGCACCTTCGACTGGCATTCTCCGACCGCACAGATCTTCAGAATGACATGTCCGAGCTTCGCACAGATGGCCTTGGTCGTCAGTACCTACGATATGCACGAACCCTCGAACTCGTATGTCTGAAGAAGCCAGGGCTCGAAACCAAAACAGCCAAATGTCTGTGGCAGCAGAAGAATTGGGCAAATGAATATGTCCTCTTCAACCCTTTAGCTTCAATGGACACACTCCTTCAGGACTCATTGTTGGAAACCCGTGACGTCTCACTCCAGTTCCTGACCTGGACCCTCGCCTATTATCGGCAGGAGGACTGGGAGCCGATAATCGACCTCCTTTCGCGCTTGCAGCATCTTCGGCTACTCAGCTACGCCGTGCTCAATATGTTTCCTACTTGCCTGTTCCAAGCGCTTCAACAGTTACACCCAGCCTGCCAATTGGATGTCTGGACTTCCCAGTCTCCAACTCTTGACCTACCCGGTCTAGGACGCTCCCACCGTTGCGTTGGTAAACAGTTCAAAGAGCCTTTTGACCTCAACATCCTGCGTTCCTCAGCACTTCGTACCCTCAAGGCGGTCTATACAGTGGGCCAGGATCCTGAACAGGGATGGATACATAACGACGAGGCCTTCTCTTTCATCTTCACGGCCCCGAATCTTAAACATTTGCTCGTTGACGAGATGCCCGCCCGGCGTGATAATCCGATTATGAAAGTCAAACGGGAATGGCAGGAGTTTGCCTCCCAGGCGAAGCCTTCTCGTACCTCACCCTGCATAGATACCTTGACTTTCATCAATGGCGATCCTCATCACCCGTATGAGCGCATCCTTCTCAATATCTCAACCATGGTTGATCTCTCTAGACTGCGATCCCTTGATGTGGCCGTCAATTCGGAGCCGGCTATGTTAAGTAAAGCAGCATCGATCCTCGGTCATTTGGAACGTCTGTATGTACATATGGTTCCCTGGAATAAGCAACGCATCACCGATTGGTACAATGATCCCGAGGGTTCCACATGGGATGATGAAGAAATGATATCTGCAGTGCAAGCATTCAGGCCGCTACGGTTTTTGTGCCTGCGGGGGTTGCGAAATTTTTCCTCTCTATCCCGCATTCTCTCCTCCCACCACTCCTTGGAGGGCCTCAGTCTTGAGGGTTCCGATCGGCATCCGCGAACACCCCCAGATGGATTCAAATACCCTATCTTCAATAGCGAACACATTCGGTCCATAGCCAAGTTATGCCCGCGACTCGAAGAGCTCCGCATGCCACTACAGCGGTCTCAGGGTAATGCTCAGGAGTGCGAGATTTATAAGGCCCTCGGGCAGCTTTCGCGCATTCAGACCGTTTACCTCGATCTTGACTGCGATCCTCGGAGTTCGCCACAAGAGGACGAAATCCCAGGTCCCAGCTGCCTCCGGGAGATTCTCATCAACTCCGCCATTGACGAAAGCCTCGTAACCGAAATCTTTAAGCTTGTTTTCGTTCACCAGCAGACTCGCAAAATCAAGAACTTGCGCGTCAATCTCGTGGGAGCAGATGGCTTTAGTCGAGAACTGGAACATGTGATCCGGCAGCTTGCTAGATCATTCCTTGTCACCCGAAATGACTTTTACCTCAATACGGATGAGCTAGTGGAGGTCAAGGAGATTGGGGGAGTCGCGTGGCAATTGTGTCGTGAGGACGAGATTGGCTATTCGGGGCCCGTCCATATCCCTCGGGATATCAAGGAGGTTTTGGAGGAGTTCTGGCCGTTGCAATCGGATAGGAATCGAAGTAAGAAGTGGAAGGAGTTTCCATTGCTGGTCCGAAGTTTTCCCCTGGAGAGTATGCACTGAATAAGCCTAGTGAGGAAGTCAACTTTACCCGATTTTGTAGTAAGATTCAATACACATTTGCTTGGCTCATTATGATATTTCTTTCAAATCCTACACGCCCCAAAGCCTAGCTACTATCCATAGTAACATATCGGTGAGGCTCTTCGTAGCATTGTACTTTGGTTCACTAATTTGGCTGTCTATTTGCATGTTGATTCCAAACATTACAGGTACTATATTATGGGACTCACTATTTGTATGCTCTGGCTCTTCGTATAGGAATCTATTATCCAGTTATTGTTTGCTTACGTTGAAGCTGTCCACATCTATGAGCACGATATATACCAATATTTATTTTATGAGTACCGTATCAAAATCTGCTCCGTGAAACAGCCTTAAGACCATTTTCGCGATCTCCCGGGGGTTCGATACCTCCTATCTGAAGTTTTGAACATTATATTTACTCTGTATGAGCCTGAATATGCTTTGCCAGTTTATAGACGAGTCTTACTGCATGTCTGGTTCAAGACATGGCCTAGCAGGCAAACTCGGGAGTTGGAAGATAGTTACGCCGACAATACAAGGGGTTAACCATCGCGGAGGATCAACTCCCCTCAGCTCAGAATGAATTATTGGAATTTCTTGTTAAAAGTGAAGCTTAACTAATATGAAATCTGTTTTAAATTTCTGAATAAAGAATCTGACCAGAATATAAGAGATAATAAAGAATTTATAATTATTAATCTAGCTGCTAGGTTAAACCAGCAAGCGGTTGTTGAAGTTCTGCAGAAGTATAAACCGGTGGATATCCTGCGGACTCCTCTTATTATACTTTGTAGATCGATGCAATCAATTCATTATTGCATGTTGTAGTTTTTATTACAGTCTCTATCTGATCTAGCTTCCCCGCACCGAGTCCTGGGATTACAGGATTCTGAGATATTCTTGGATTATACTCTCTGGATTTTTCCAAATATATACTAAGTGAATAGTCAGAATAATCCTTATCAAGTGAATTCTGGAATTTACCAAAGCAAAACTAACCCAATATAGTTTTCTCAATTGATTTCTCATTTTCATTACGGGAATATTTGTCAAGCTTGGAAGTTGCATTTATGAGAAAAATATCTGGCTTGTAAACCTAGAGCTATCAAATGTAATGATCAGCTCAGCAGCGGATAGCCAGTCTATATTATTGGTCAGTAATTGAGGACTTGCTCTGTTCGACCGCTGATAAGATGATATTCTTGTAATATAATTAATTTGAATTTTATAACTCACCTTATTTTAGTTGGAACAATGCGAACGGAAAGATATATGTATTTTCACCCTAAAATGATCGGGACTGGGATTACTTGCCTGAGACAGAGTCTGTACATACGGTTGCTAGCATCATACCCGAGATGAGATGACAGTTGTACGACGAATAGGAGTTATGGGCTTTTTTAGGCGTGGAAAATAGTTAAGTTTTGACGGGCAGCCAGCTTGCATGAAGATTGGAGTATTCCCATGATTTCCTTGGACGCACGTCTACCCAGAAGACATGGGACAGGACAGTGGCAGAGTTCTAGTGTCATCAATTTATAATTTCAGTTTACAAGCCTCTCCTCTCTTTGCTCCAACTGGCATTTTCGCCACCTGGACTGCTTCCTTTGACAATCTTAACATATCATGATCCGACTGCCGGCTTCTGTACTCAGACCAAAAATTTTCATCTTTCAACCAGCCGGCGTACCACTTCCGAATCCATCCGGCCGCAGTCTCTGCACACCATCCGACATTTTCAAAAACGAGAGTATGCGACCCATCTACCAGGACAGCCTTTTCTACCGCTCCAGTTTGAACCCCACCGCTACCACCCACTCCGATTCCTGTTACTCGCATCTTGACGTCCTGCGCGTCCGGCAAAGACAGGAAGCTCTTCTCCCCAAAGACCCAGAGGACACTCGGTCTCAGAAACGGTAGATTTCTCATGGCGGACCAGCATTCCGGGCGTGAAAAGAGATACGGCCGTTCCCGTTCACTATCCCAGTCAGGTAGCAAGAGTCGGTCCAGATGCTCGGATTCCAGGTTCATCGTAGAGAAGCTCCACGCTTCTTGGTGCTTTGTTGTTCTTAGCGTCACAGCTTCGGCGCCAACTTTTGGATCTGAAGGGTGGTATAGTGCAGTTGGGACTTTGCGTAGCCCGTATTGGAGGTATCTTTCTCGCGTACGAGGATCCCAATTTCGGAGGCCTTTCGATAATGATGCTTTGGCGCTTTCGGCATTCGGCCAAAGGTCTCGGCGGAGGCTAGCGGGAAGCGCTGGGTTGGGACCACCGAAGGAAGCCTCGATGATGACGGGCTCGAAGAGGATGAGCGTGGACAGCAGGCGCGGATGGATGATCGAAAGATTAACCCTGTTCTCTTTGTTAGAGGTTTTGGTGTGAAAGAATCATGGCCGAGCGATGAGGCTTACAGTTGTGCACAGCCCATGCCATGCGCAACACCGATGATCGGACGAGGGATCTCATCGCGGAATTGGTTGACCATCAGGAGGAGGTCGCGGGAATGGTCGTACCAATTTGCTGCACGTCACATGAATTTATATCAGTTAGCCTCAAGTCCAGCGCTTTGCCATATCGATGCACACAAGCAGAACTTCATTGACCTACTGCGATCGCCTTGAATATATTCATTGAGAACCCCGCTTTCCCCCTGGTTGGATGTGTCTGCCATCCAGATTCCCCGCAGAGGCACCCCTCTATGCTTCAACTCGGTGTAGATGTCCTCCCAGAGGGGCTCGTAGGTTTCCTTCGGAGAGCCATTACCAGGGGACCCGATAATGGTGATCGCGTTGTCAGGCACTGGATCGGGGCGGTCGAGAGGGATATATTGTTTGATCGCGAGCTGGTGAGGGGTTTCTTGTCTGCCCCGGGTACTTTGTGGGTACTCTCGGATGTGCTGCCCGGGAATGATGTGGTCAATTATTTGAAAGGGAAAAGACATTGTTGTTGTTTCTGCGAAGGTGATTTCGCGCGTACCCTGATCGAGGGGATTTTTGTGTTGCTGACGAAAATAAGTTACGTTAAAATGGTGGAAGTTGGTGTTCCATCGAGCTGTAAGCACAAGGCTGTGCTAGTGCCATCATCCTCGGCTTTGTAAGTTGTTGACCAATCCGCTCTTAGCCTCAATTGGCTGATCCTTTCCATCCTTTCCTATCCGGAGCGGCCTTGAGACCCTACAAGTCCCTGTTTCAATTGCTGGGGCTCCCCGACTGTTGTCCACTGGCAGATATATGCGATATCGGTTTTCGTGCAGTTGTTAGCGCTTTGGCATTATTCGACTACGCAAGTCTGCGCAATTCTTCACGATCTCACTTCTAGGAGGGCATCCGTCCTTTCTGCCTTTGGCCTGCTTGTTCTTCCTCCCTACATCTCAAGAAACAATCGCATTTCTCAGTTACCCAGCGGTGGATATGAGTAAAGCTCCTTAGCCGGACGATCCACGGCGTAGCCGAAGCTCTGGCTTCCCGGAATACCGCATCATGCTGGCCCCTGAGTACGAATCGGAATCGAAAAAAATTCTACCTCATGGAAGCTCTGGTCAATAGAATAAAGTCAAGGGCAAATAAATGATCAATGATGAAGACAGTTTTGACAACGAATATACTGACTTGTCCTATTTAGATCTTCGGGGATGTAGAGCTGGTAGATAAGGAAGAGTTGGCCAAGTTCATTGAAAATACTTCCAAGCCAGGCATACCCCCCGAAGGCGATCAAAGCGGTCATTGCAGTATGACATTACCCGAAGGATCGGGAGGTGCAAGTGTTACTTGTATAGGCATTGTTGCAAACCTTCAGAAGGCCGTGGAATACATCAACGATTCATTCAATAAAAATGAACCTCTCTTTCGATCAGCTTAGGATGAGTGGTGGCATGGTTACATCAATAAGCAGATACAACGCACGTTGACTTGGATCAAACGTGCCAGTCGCTTAATGCGCACTGTATGGGAGCACGATAGTATTAAATATCATCCCGCAAGGAGATTCGTCCTGCAGGCATTGGACCACGCCGGGAGGGGAAAGGGAATGACTTACCATGTAAAAAAATCGCAGACATAAGCAACGACAGAGTTTCATTCATGCCAAGATAAGTTTCGAATATGATAGATTGATAGAAAGTTATCGCATTGGCCCCACAGATCTGTTGCCCATCTGTAACGCAACAGCGATGAAGGCGCGGTTGGCGAATTGTGCTGGTCCATTTCGAAGATATCCTTGAACGACCCCTGTCCCGTTTCCTGAAGCGTCATTTCAATCTGTTCGATTTGGTGAACGATACTGGGGCTGTCGATGGGCTCGTCGCGGAGCTTGGCAAGGACATTGCGGGCGTCATCAATGCGGCCCTTTTTAATCAGCCAACCGGGGCTACGCTATTAGCACTCTCATGTATCATGATGGATGGGAGTATACCGTACCGAGTCGGGCCAAACGGGGTCCCAGCATAGGAATCCCAAGCAGAGAAAACAAGCAAATACAAGAGGAAGCCTCCAGGTCACCGATCCGTCTGTAAACGCGACTCCGTATTCCAGCCACCCAGCCAGCGCTAGCCCGGTACATAAAAGGATACTCTGTAGCATGGCAATAAATCCTCTTAACATGGGCTGAACAGTCTCACTCTGCCTATAGGAATCAATGTCTGGTTATCAGAATCTGTTAAATACCTATAATACGATGCATAGCCAAGGAGAATGAGTGTTCATACCAATTTGGCCCAGTAGCAGTGACTCCACCAAACCCAAAGCCAGCAATAAGCCTCCCAATTGTTAACTGTGGCAAGGAGAATTCACTCGACTATAGTACGGAGCCGATGATACAGACCCAGCCAGAACGTTCTCTTCCGGCCGAGGATACCTCCCACGAGTATACAACTAAGGGCACTGCAGAGGCAGCCCAAATTGAAGATTGCCGTTACTGTTCCCTTGATACGTGAGTTTTCTGCTTCCTTGGAGCCAGTCATATTGACGGTGTCCATCTGGGGGAAAGTGTGTACCCATGACTGTCGAGTTTCGATGCCCGAAGTCACAGCCATGAGATAACGGAAGCAGATGTAGGCCGGGAGAATGACCGTACAGATGTGCCCGATGTTGAGCTTTGTACTACGGAAGCCTAATGCTGGTTTCATCTTGCCGTATGGGGAGGATATGGTGAATTAAGTTGGTTATGCGTATATGAACGGGTTATGGGGATAGAGTGGTAAGAGAGAGGACTACACGCAGAACAGAACGCATGGGAACTGATCTAGCTCTAAGCGAAGGTTTTTAGGGGAATCCCGGAGACCCCAATACCAACGGGTTACCATGCCATCATTGTACCAGACCCATATTTTCGTCCGGGGAATCGGGGGGTCGAATCCTGTATTGCGCAGGGAATCCGGAGGAGTTGTGGAGGCATTGGGGAGTTTGAAGTCGAGTTTGGTACCGACAATGCTATCAACTAGCCAGTTGTAGGCTTAAGTTCAAGGTAGCGATCCACATCCTCCACATAAGCTTAACTGATTGGGACTATTAAGCTGTGGGTCCCGGCCTTTTCCGCGCGAGTCCATCAAGTCCGATGCGTTTTCGCCGTACACTAAATAAGACGGTGTCGCGTAACGGGCGAATTTATTTTCTTTGAAAGTAGTCCACGCTTAGGTAAGGAAGAAAATTGGAACATAAATATGCGACAATGGCATGGTGTTTCTTGGGTTCAGACAATTTGATAAATTCACACAAGTGCGCAAGTCTTCAGGAAACAATATATTTATTTAACAAGGTGAGGCTTGTAGACGTGATTGTATATTATTGATCGACATTATACTCAACAATTCTCGGACGTCATCTTGTACTCACCTCAGTTTCACCTCAGCCTTGATCATTGAAGTAAAAAGTAATTCTGACATGCGTAGCACTGACTGAAATGCGAGGTTTAAAACTCAGAGTGCCCTGCTTGTTGTTGATGTAAAGTGCTTGTAATGTCCGTAAGAGTTACCGGGGTATTGCGGCAACAGATATCAAGTGATTATTTCAATGCAATAATTTCTGTAAAGACCATAGCTGTCATCCTATTGATTCTCCGTTTGGTCCAGTTTACGCTTCACCAATTCAGTCAACAGCACATCACGATCCCCCTCAACCTTCTTCAGGTCGACTTGCGATGTCCACCCATTGACGTTCTTCTTCAAGCCATCAACTTGCTCCTCGGATCCCAAGTCAAATTTATTCTGTTCCATATCGTCGACCCACGACTTCAACGCCGGGCCCAAATGATCCATAAAATGGGTGAAGTCTCCCCCGCCGCCGAGGGTATTCGTCATAATTGGCCCTGTCAGCGCCCACCGCAGGCCGAGGCCGGAAGTGACAGTTTTGTCTATACGCCATTAGAAGTTCTTCCATATTGCAACAGGAGGAAGATTAATGCTCACCCAGGTCTTCTGCAGAGACAATCCTTCGTGTAACGAGGCTGTATGCCTCGGCACACATTGCGGCTTGTAACCGGTTGGCGATAAAGCCAGGAGTTTCTTGATTCACAATCACCGGATCCTTGTCTAGACCCTTGTAGAATTGGTATGCAGCCGCCACATAGTCTTGGCTTGTTCCTGGATGAGGCACGACCTCGACCAGAGGTACTAAGTGGGGAGGGTTGAAAGGGTGACCGATGAGGATTCGAGATGGGTTATTTGTGCATTCTGTGACAAATTCTGACGACGGAAGGCCGGAGGAGGAGGATGCGATGAGGATATGGGAAGGGGTCTTTGCGTCCAAGTGCGCGAATAGACGGCGTTTGAAGTCTAGTCTTTCTGGCCCATTCTATCATAATAGTTAGCATGCATGACGAACTGCAGAGGAGCTCTAAGGATGACCGGCCACTGACTTCTTGAATCATGTCTAGGCTTCCGAGGTAAGGCTCAATGTCCTTGACGAATGTGTAATTCTTCAGACAAGCGGCAGGAGCAACCATAGCATTAGGTACTGCGGAGCAATACTCCTGCAAGTAACCACGCAGCTTTGCCCCAGCTCCTGGCGCTGGGTCTGTTACAATCACTTGGAGGCCCTTGGCAAGGAAGAGTGCTGTCCAGCTGGCTCCGATCACGCCTGCGCCGATCACGCCGACCGTTTTGATTGGGGAGGACATCGTGGGATTTTGTGAGTCTTTGCTCTTCACACACTTCTGAAGAGTGTAGTGAGAAATGTCTATAAATATAGCCAGCGCTGTCGACTTCACAGTTGACCAGCCTCCGTCATGCTTTTGGTAGTGGCCAATATCTCGGAAGCTCCAGTCGGCTACCTAATCGGGCAATATCCACCTCGGAAGCGGCTCGATGTTGATGACGACGATTATTGAAGAGATGTCCCGGCAATCCCAGCGGTCGGGAGTTGACCGGCGTTAAGCCGGTAATTGCTCGGAATGACATTAATCACCAGAGGCGAATTACCGTGTTGGGCCAGATCCAGCGGGTTCCGTGGTTTCGGCTTGGCAACATTCACTTTCCGCAAGTTCGGGATGCCAATTCTAAAACATCGGGATCAATTTGGAAGGGCGACCCACGATGTTCAACGGTTTGATGGGTCTATTGTGGGGGGGGGGGAGAGTGAATGATGGCCGTATATAGTCACAGTATCCTTGAGCTTTTAGATCCTCCCTGCTTCGCAGCACTTCAATACTTACTATTTCTCTTTAGAATATTGCTGTCCTGCAAACATCTGACACCCTTCACGATGACTTCCCACGAAACGACGTCAAGTGCAGACATCTACGGCCCCGGGACTTTTGTCGATAAGGATTTCCTTCCCGCACCCCAAGATGCTAGCCGCATATTCGAGTATATCGCCAAGCGCACGCCTGGGTTCACTCAGGATTATGAACTGTGGAGGACCGTCAGCTTCACTGGCTGCGACCTACCTGTCATCCCTGGCCCTACCAAGGCGCCTCTCGTCGCCGCTGCCCTGCATGCCATGTGTGGTGTCGTCGCCCACGAGATTATAGAAGATCGCGATGGTACCGCAGCCCGCAATCAGAACGTGAAGGTGAACACCGATCACGCGGCCATCTGGCTAGGGACGATCTTTGCGGCGTCCGTTGAAGGAAAGGACATGTCGGAATTGGTCCGGTCGCGCAAGCTACCGTCCCTTTTCGAGCGTGATTTCGAGAAGGGCTGGCAAGCAACGCCTTTGAAGCAACGGTCGACTGCGATCTACAAAACCAAGACGCCGGGAGTTTGGTATCAGATCCATGGCTCCCTAGACGCCGCGCCTGTTCTGCGTGCTCTGGGAATAAATCCCGACTACCCGGCCAAGACGTCGGACGAAGCCTACGAATACATCAGTAAGCATGTCGAGCAGTGGACTGCGGATGAGCTCGAGATGCTCAATGTCAAGAACGGATTCTGTGGCAGTATCTGCTTCACGCCGCAAGGGTGGGCAGATACGTTGATGGGTAAGAGACTTGCCGAGCACCCGCTGGTCGGTTACTCGCGCCAGTCGCATGCCATCCCGACTCCCCCCATTCCATTTTCCAAGGTCGCGAACGATAAGCGACCACTCGCAGGCATCAAGGTGGTCGAGCTGGTGCGTATTATCGCTGGTCCCGTAATTGGCAGTACTTTGGCCGCACTCGGTGCCGACGTCATTCGCGTTAACTGCAGTCGCTTGGTGGATCTCAACGTATGTTCCGTATTCTTGCTGGAACACTTTTCAGGACATGGTGTGCTAATATGAAAACTTCAGGTTCTGCAACTTACCCTCAATGCTGGAAAGCGGACCATAGATCTCGACCTGACGAAGAAGGAGGACAAGTCACGCCTGCGGGAACTCATCGAAGGGGCCGATGTTTTTGTTCAGGGTTTCCGCCCCAACGCGATCGCAAGAAAGGGTTTTGGTGTTAATGATCTTCTCGAGATGGCCGGTAACCGTGGCAAGGGTATCGTCTATGTCGAGGAGAACTGCTACGGCCCCGACGGCCCATACCACGAGAGACCTGGCTGGCAGCAGATTGGAGATGCTGCATCTGGTTCGTCGTACGTGATGGGTCGTTCCCTAGGCTTCACAGACGGGACAAGCGTCCTGCCTCCGCTGCCCATCTCTGATATGACAACCGGGCTTGTCGGAGCCTTGGGCGCACTGATGGCTCTCCGGGATCGCTCCCGCCACGGCGGCTCGTATCGCGTGACTAGCTCGTTGGTCAAGGCTGATACGATTAACCTCGAGCCTGAGATCGGGCTTTACTCGCCCGAAGTTGTCGAAAAGTGCACCCAGTTGTTCAAGTGGGGGCACATCGGCCCCTCGCAGTTCGTCACAGAAATCCTGCTGGTTGTCATGAATGGATGGAAGAATGTATTCCCTCAGTATTTCAAGGCTGGTCCTGAATCGCTGCTCTCCAGCTTCGGAGAGGGCCCTTGGGGTAAGATGGAACTTCTGAGGCCTGTGGCTCAATTAAGTGACCCAAGCGTAACGCCTCGTTGGCTGACACCCTCCGTGCCTAATTGCTACCATGATCGCAACATCAATTGGTTGTGAGTATTAGACTCCTGATGCACCGATAATGTCAAGCAGCAACCCTATTTGAACATTAATCGCAGGGCAATTGCGGCGTGTTGCACCCATTCTTCTTGCACAATACTAGCGAAGGTATTTTTCACGAACCATACACCGTAATAGTTTTTTGTCTTTCTTCAAAGGATGTAAATGGAACCTCTTCTTCACCAAACCCGCATGGGATTCCGATGTGTAAACTGTTGCCAGTAGGTAGCCGATCAGTATCGAGTACTGGTGATCCACAAGAGAGTTGATGCGTCCTTAGAAACCAATTCTGAGGCCTACAACCCCCAACTATCGGGAAGCGGTGCTTCATCGCCGAGCTGCGCGAAGAACATGGGCCAGTTGTTCCAATCGAAGGTATAGTTCTCTATGATTCCCAAATCGTCCCCCATCATCGCCGGAGGCTCTTGAGAACCTATGACAAAGTTCTGCACGGATGTGTTGTCATGACCTCTGGAAACTGGTAACGCTTCAGGGTGTCCAATGTTCGCTATTGATGTGCGCCGACTAATGCTTTGCTCAATTAAATTCAATGCAGAACGGCACCTCGATGCCAGCGTAGTATGTTTTTCATAATTGCTGAGAATGTCTCGTGCACGTTGCAGAATGCCCTGCAAGCGAGACGCGGAGAAGTGTTCCACTATCTGCGGCGATGATTGAGCTGCAAGCAAATTTGTTACAGCCATATAGACATCTTGCTACTGTTAGCCGACCGTGTTCACTTACAGCATAATAAGCGCCACTTACATGAGACAGTGTACCAATTGGATGGTAAGATGTAGGCCTGCTTCTGCCCGGGGGAGTTCCGGACGATAAATTCAACCATGTCGATGGCCGCCTTTGTGCAGTTCACCTGGCATTGGAATACAATGTGGGGCATGATCTGGTCATCATCCGCATAGAGACCAGTACCAGGCGCGTTCTCGGCCTTCTGTTGATGTATCTGTAGAAGCAGGATCCTGAACAGCAGGAGCCGGACTGAAAGATACCTTCATGTACGAAAGATGTCAGTGCTTTGTTGTTATCACAGGTTCATCAAGGTTGTAGTTACAGACCTGGCTCGTAGGATATTCGCTTCACGAGTGATGTGCTTTGTTGGCGTGGGATCTTCCAGCTCTGACGGCATCTGAAAGAACGGGTGCAGGCCACGGGCCCAATTATTCAGGGTAGAATCGATGCGAAGTAAGCTCGCGAATTTGTCAAAAAGGAGTGCACAGCTTTCCTCGCGATCATTGACATTGCTAGAGGCATAATGACGATTCTTGCTGTCATCGAAGGCAAAGAACGTCTCAAGTACTTCTGCTATAATGTGGTGTAGTCGGCAAAAGGATGTGTAAAAAGTTAGTTTCGATGGTAGGCTGATAGTTGGAGTGTCGCTCCTGGTTTCTTCAGACTTAAGTACTAGCGCGTTCAACCCTTCCTGTGCGACCGATCGAGGGACTTTGAGGGGGCAGCCAAAAGTCATGGCGCAGATTCTGGGGTGGCTTCAGTATCAGCACTCATGATTGCGGCTCTGGTATCATACCTGTCCATAATAACGCATCCGTTCCAAACCTGACGCGCTAGGTCTCGGTCTTTTGGGTTGTCCATCCCCTCCGTTGTCTCAGGGATATGTAATCCAAGCTCCTGGGCGACATGAATCGCGGTTCCAATAATCCGGAAGCACTTCTGGGGCTCTTTGTCATGCTGGAGATAAACTGCTGTGAGTAACAGTATCTGAATTATTTCAATGTTGTACATGTCCATCAGATTGTAGGACATCAGCGCCTGAGCTCGGTCGAAGAAGACAACAGAGGATGGATAGCGGTCAAGCGGGGTTTCCCCTTGAGATGCGACACAGGATGTGGCGAACATGAGATTCAGAAGGCAATGGAGGACGGTCTCGTTCATTGTCAGTTCGCCATCACGAACCCATAGGGTCTCGTATGCTTTTTCAAATGAAGGCCTGTCTAGCCAGGGGTAAGCGCTGTCGACATAGTCCCAGTAGAGGCTCAGAAGGTTGTCCGCCTGCTTTCGTGGAGGAACGGCAAACTCCACATCTGCATGTTCGTTGTGATATTGCTTTTGCAACTTTGGCAGACGTTTCAATGCTTTTGGTAGTATTGAAGTCCGATTTTGTATTTTGTTGGCAGGGGTACCGGGTGCGCCTACCTGGATTCCGACATCTGGGAGGAGGTGTGCACCACTGGATGCGCCAAACAGGCCGCCGGTCGGGACGAATCCACTGAAGCTGCTGGCAGCATCATCATCATTGATTTGTGGGCAGTCGTTCGATAGTCGCTCACTTGTGTGGCTCGACTGCTCACTGACATCAGCCTCACGGTATTCACAGGCCGTGGTATGCGAGGTTCGTTTCCGTCTCGAGCAGGGACCGCAGACTAATGCACGATGAGTCTAAGTATGTTCTCCACTGCGAGTGACAAGGAGTGTTATTGGTTCAGTCTTACTTGGTCTAGCACCATCGCACTTGGTTTTCCTGGCCTTGCATACATTGCAGGCAATTCTAATCTTGGCCCGTTTCGGCTTGGGTTCGCTCAAGGTCTGGCCATGTGGGGAAGAGTGGCCGGCGTGGAATGAGAACATCATCATGCGAAGAGGAATACATGGAAAAGCAAGAGATTCCGAGTTTCCCGCCGAATTCTAGAATCCATCCGTGCGATTATGTCATCCGCTTCCGCTCCCAATGCGGTAATCCGAGGACCAGCGGATAGTCGGCATCAATCATCAACAGTTGCCCAGAAGCCCAAAGCACAAAACTTGGAAGAATCGGTATGCCGGTGGGTCAACTTGTCGGTTACAAGGTAGATACTTAATGGCTCAAGCCATTAAGTGCGCGTTGAATAATTAGTTGATCCCGAGGTTCTCGGCTTCGCTGTTCTCCTACTCTTTATATATAGTAGTCCTCCATTGAGCTCTTTTCACTTCTCAACTTAAACCTCAACCCTAGTACTACTAGTATCACGAAGAAACAAGGTACACACTATCACAATGGCACCTCGACCTGACCCTCCAGCAACGGGACGTGTTTACTTCCTCGACATCGGAATCTCAACCTCTGAGCCCAATGGACGTCTTTTGTCCTGCAAGCCCGATGGCTCCGATTTCCGCGAGCTGATCACTCAACTCAACACCCTGCCCGACGGTATCGCCATTGACTCTGACCGCCAACACATCTACTGGACAAACATGGGAATTCCGTCCGCCGATGATGGATCCATCCAGCGCTGCGATTACTCAGGGAATAACATCGTCACCATCATCCCAAAGGGATACACCCATACCCCGAAGCAATTGATCATTGCTCCACGATCTCAGAAGCTGTACTGGTCTGATCGCGAAGGCCGACGGGTCATGCGAGCGAATCTAGATGGGAGTGAGATCGAGGTACTTTACAGGGCCACTTCAAGTGAGGGCACAAACACACCCGCTGTTCTTGACTGGTGCGTGGGCATTGCGGTTGACGAGGAGGCACATTCGGTATATTGGACACAGAAAGGGCCATCGAAGGGCAACCTTGGCCGGATCTATCGCATGGGACTTGAGATGAGACAGGGTGAATCAGCGGAGTCGCGGACAGATGTTGAATGTCTCATCGACGGTCTGCCTGAGCCCATCGACCTGGAGTTAGACCACGCCACAAGGACATTGTACTGGACGGATCGTGGAGATCCGCCTCGGGGAAACACGGTGAACTCAGTCGATCTTTCCAGTGCGCCCGTGAATAAGTTGGAACCGAAGATTCTGGTGCGCAAGCTTCATGAGGGAATTGGAATTGCTTTGGATACCAAGAATAAGCGTATGTTTTTCGGGGACCTGGGTGGCTCATTGTACAGTGCCAATTTTGATGGGACATGCAAGTATACCATCGTGGCTGATGTTGGGGGTGCAATCACTGGTGTGGCGTATGCTGGGTAATAGATAGAGTATTATGAAGTTAAGCTAGAAACTGTTGTATATATGCACCTATCTAATTTATCATCCTCTGCTGTACTCACTGCCTTCGCACTGTAAAATTCTTTATAAACAGGACATAGATTAGCATATCTTGTTGACTCTAGTAGAGGTCTTTTTATGGCATTCCGCATGCGTTCCAGCTGTATGTTCCCTGACTTGACAAATCGGCCATTCGTCAGTACGAATATCTGAAGTGAACGTTCTCCGTATCTGTCTGGTCCAGCTCAGTATCTCTCTGGTTTCCTCTTAATGCAATTCCGTTCTTCTTGCGATTCAAGTGCGCCGCATAGACTGCGAACGCGAGCAAGAGAAAAATCTCCACACAATATGCGACCAACATCGCAATGATTCCCGATGTATATTGGGGCGCTTCATCTGACTTGAATGCAAACGGCCCGATAATATTTCCGACACAGTACGAAATGAAGAATATGGCATTAACAACCGATCGTTTGGTTGTGCCTCCTGTATTTGCGGTGATGAGGGACATGATCAGGGCGAATGATGCTGTATAAGTACTCGTTAACTAAATCCAATTAGCATTCATCTTACTATTGGAGGGGTAGAATGTGGAATACCCAGTAGCAAACCAGCAGAGCGATTTTGTGATCTCTCGATATGGTATGGATCCCGACCGCTCCCGCCAGAGCCGGACACACATACAAAGCACCAACGATACACCTCTTCTGGCCCGGCAGCCATCGCTGAATGTACATAGCGGACACATTGGAGACAAGGATCACCATCCCGTACGGGATCTGGAATAATGTCGTGACTAGATTCGAGTATCCGAACCCCTCAATGATCAGACTCCCAAAGTTACTCGCCGCCCCGTTGACGACTTGTGTGCAGACGCCGCACAGGAAGAAAAACCAAGTTTTGGGATCTGTCAGCGACTCCCATATCTGGTACATCTTGATCTCGGACACCCTTATGCCGGAGTGTTGGGGGCCGAGACGATTGATCGCGATGTGCTTTTCTTCTGCGGTAAGCCAGCCACTGTTTGATCAGCAATGGTAAAACCGGACAAGGATGAGAGACTCATACGCTGTAGCCGGACCATCCGCAAGAGTGAAGAACATGAACACTCCCCATGCAGAAGATATGGCACCTATAATGATGAACAGATACTGCCATGATGCTAGGTCGCCATGGATATGGCCAATAGCAAACGCCAAGAGCCCACCAAAAGCGTTTGCAATACCCAGAAAGGTCGACCACCATCCAATCCTGATCGGCTGTTCTTCAATAGTATACCATGTTGCTGTGATGAGGAGGTAAGCTGGTGTTGAGCAGGATTCGAGAGCACCGAGGACAAATCGAAGACCAAGAAAGGGTTGGAAATGCGTGCACGCCGCCAGAGCCATGGTCACTCCACCCCAGATGAAGATGTTCGCGGATAGCCACTTTGACACGGAGAGTTTCTGCATAGCGAAAACAGAAGGGTACTCAAACTGCCAAGGTCAGTAAGATGTGATATCTATGGGTTACACGAATGTCTATACGGCGAGATATCCAAAATAGAACATGCTCCCTGTCATTGTTAGCATGTCCTCATGTAGAAGAAGGTTGCTCTTACCCAGCCAACTATATTCAGTCCCTTTTAGATGCAAATCCTCCTTGAGTCCAAAAACAGCGGCATAGCCCATCATTGCTTTGTCGATGTAAGTGATGAGATACGTGACGCAGATGAATGGAATCACCATCCCATCTAATTTCCTGATTACCCGACGTAGAAGATCTGGGTCGAACTGGGCTTGCCATTGTGCTTCGTCTACACTTTTGCCCTGCTCCACTGACTCAAGATGGTCTGTAGTTATTTTCGACATGATTCATAGTTTGTGTTGACTGGGTTGCTAGTTCAGCGAGGATCTAAGCTGGAGATAACCCGGTTGAACGGATGATCTTAATTTATCGACTCTGTACACCCAAGAAGATTTATATAGGCATCCCAGTTAAACTTTTTCACAATTAGCGGTTCAAAGTGAAATCTAGCACTTGCGATTCACCCCGCATTCGCTATCGTGGTCTACACCAGCCGGCCAATTGACTGCTAATTGCTAGTGCAAATTCCGGGGCCCCGGGTTATCAACTGTGGAGATTGGCTGAAGCTAGTCTGGGCGGATATGCTTGTTATTTGCTATGGGAAGAGGACCACAGGGGAGGTGGCTGCCTCCCAGGAGCTAGCAGCGGATTTCAATAGCAAGACTCCTTCCTTATTATACGCCTCACCCCCAAGTGTGAGCTGTGTATCTGTCCCGTATATATAGCAAATCCGCGTCGGAAAAGTCGGGAATCGGATGATTTTCCGCTCCAGTACCGCGCTCCAGGAGATCCCGTGGGGTCATCCCCGGATTGACGGAAATATGTAGCATAAACCGGTTAAAAATGACGATGTTGGCAGGTATCAGTAATCTGATGGAGTGAGACAGCGAGTTATTCACTCTCCACAATTTTGTATGTCAGTTGTGTTCGTAAAACGCTTCTGGTGTTACCCAGGGAACGCAGCAGCGACCCTTGGCACGCATGATACATGTATATGTGTCGCTAACGTGCGAAACATGGGGCTTCATACATCCTTGATCAAAGAAGTTCTGATTGCACTCGAGCAATCATATTACTGGGTTCACCGGCATACATCTTGGGTTGCAAACAAGCTTTCTGATACTACATTATCTACCAACCCCAGTTATAACATGCGGAAAAGCACCCGAATCCGCCCATCGTCGCGTCGGATCCGTGGACAATTCCACCATTGCGAACACAGTCAGTCTCTCCATGCTTTGGGATTCCTAGAACACCACTCAAATTTGCCTAATGCTATAATCTAACCCCATATCTGAAGCAATATCCTCGGGATAAACTCCGAGACGCCTCCTATAAGGCCGGAAGTCCCTCTATGAAACCGTAAACGTTATCTCATCAACACAGCACCTGAAATGGAACCTGTCGCGTTTGATGCGCTCCCCCTCCGAAAGGATGGCCCCAATGAATATGCCTAAGGTTTGTTTTGGTATAACTGACCAGCTAGGTATGCTGAATCGCCTCACACCCGAGACAACGAGGGAAGCAGCAAAAGAAATCATCGACGGAGTCCGTGTATCCACCGACTGGTTTTCGACTAGTATGCAAAAACCGTGTTTTGGCCGGCCAAAGCTCGAACATGTTGTGAAGAACAAAGCGCCGCGGGCTGTAAACGACGACAGCCTTCCTTTCAATACGTAGATTAGCTCTCAGTGGGATGGATTCCGACACTATGGGTATCAAAATGAGAAGATCTATCTCAACGGGTGTACTCTGGAGGAGATCCAGAGTGGGGATAGAAATGGGATCCACGGTTCGTTTGTTCTATATTCTACTTGAACTCATGCAGCGCTAATTGCCTCAGTATGGGTTGAGAATGGTGGAATTGTAGGACGCGGCGTTCTCCTCGATTACGCCTCCTGGGCTGAAGAACATGGGATACAAATCAACTGCTTCTCTACCTCATCTATTTCTGTCTCTTTTCTAAAAGAAATTGCCATCAGCCAGGGAACAACTTTAAAAACAGGCGATATCCTGTTCATCCGCACTGGCTGGACCCACGCCTACGAGAAGCTCTCCGCAGAACAATGCCAAGAGCTAGCTAGTGTGAAAGTCCCACCGGCTCTTGGTGTCGAATCATCCGAAGAAACCCTGCGTTGGATCTGGAATGAAGGATTCGCAGCTGTTGCGGGGGATATGCCCAGTTTCGAAGCATGGCCATACCAGAATACTGACTTTTGGTTGCATGAGTGGGTGCTCGCGGGCTGGGGCTTCCCTATTGGAGAATTGTTTGATCTGGATCGACTGAGCCAAGAGTGTCGGAAGCGGAACCGATGGAGCTTCTTCTTCAGTAGTGTTCCGTTGAAGGTAGGGCGTTGTGCTTTTTGTTGGTAGTTCTACGCTTACTGGTCTAGGTCCCTGGTGGAGTTGCTAGTCCACCAAATGGTGTTGCGATTTCTTGATCGGCTTTATGCGTTGGGGTTATTGAGACGCTGTTGTACATATACGATGAAGGTTAATGAACGGTAATGGTTTTGCCTATTCGCATGTTGATTGAGTCAAGCTGTGTAGTTTATATCGAGCTGATCCTATCCCTAAAGAAACTAACTGTTGGGTTCGAATTGTCGGGTCACCTGTTGATTGTCCCGAATTAGCAGAGCAATTGCAATCACTGGGCCACAATTCACGTGCACCATAGCAATTGGTTACATGCTTCGCTCAGTATCATGGAACTTAATTCACGGAAAGCACCGTTTCCATTCTTTTACCAGTGTCATAAGCTTTGAAATAACAATATTCACTTCGCGTTGACTATGAGTATGATGTGATTTCCAGCTCCTATACGACACTCGACACAATCAGTCGATTTCAAAAGAGAAACAGATCAAAATATGCTAACGCCCTCTCCTGCAGCACTGCTGCATCCGGAACTCGCCGGACAACTCCTTAAAATCCCAAACGCCGTTATTTGCTATTCTTCTTCTTCTGCTGCTCCAAAATGTCGATGTAGACGTGGCCCAGAGGTCCAGCCTCTGGGCTCCATCCCCCATGTTCGACACGATACTTGCTATTACTGTCCAGCATCTCGACGATGTTGACAGGATTGCCCTGGCGATTATCCCAGTGCAATTCGCAGATCTTTTCCTCGTCGTGGAAGAGGTCCAGCCGGCCCTCGCTGCCGCGGCGACCACGAGCACAGATCTCACCGATGCCGTACGAGGGGATGGTGATTTCATCGATCTCGTCTTCGGTGAGGGACTGTCTGCGGTTGTTGGGGTCGTGGAATTCACCACTATCATGAGATATCAGTTAGTATACAAGAGAAGAGTTTCAATTGAGTGCAGTTTCAATGAAGAGTTTCCATACCCTTCGATGACGGTGTGTCGGACGGTGATCTCGCCCTTCTCCAGGTGGTCCCGGATGTGGAAAGAGACCCATTGGTCGTCCATGGGGCCGGCTGCAGGCATCTTAAATGAAGCAGGGCAGAAGGTGAGTAGAAAGGGTATGTGTGTATCTATGTATGCTGTGATGCTTTGAGGATGATGGGAGAGAGAAGAGCGAGTCGAGCAGCTACCGAAGGGGCTATTTATTGCTGAGGCCGGGCTGTGGGGTGATTCGAGAGCGGCATTGGACAAGGGCTGATCAGTCTCCCAATTTGCTTGGATGAATGGACGGAGAGGAGCCAGAGATGAGACAGTGAGGAAAGAGGATCAGATGACGGCAGGGTGGGTTGATGTGGTTGGCTCGGCGGTGGGCTGATCCACGGATGGAGACATGCAGATGCTGGGATTGTGGGGGTGGGCCGGCAGTTGACGGGCTGCTGCTCACTGGCTCTATTGTGTTTCGTTGCTCGCATGGCGTTGCTACTGGTGGCGTCATGGCCCGTGGTATCTTTGTCGCCGGCACCGATGGCATCACCACTTTTTTGGTGTTGCTGCTTTGGCTTCGTCTGTTACCCCCGGCTTGTTTTCCCCGCACCACCCGCCCAATGATCACCAGTTGTTGTCCCAGGGATCGGCAGAGCTGTCGATGCTGCTCCATCTTTCTAATTGGATGACATGTCACCTATTTCCCTTGGTGGCGAGACTGCTGGTCTGGGAATTTGGCCAGAGAGACCTGGCCAAAAGGTTTCAAGTTGGCGGTTTCCACCTAAATCTTCCCCTCGTGATGGTACCAATAAGCCCGGTTTCGTCTATTGGCTCAAATCCAAAAGTACCTGGCTTTTGAACCACTGGAATTTCTCGAAACCACTTTGTTGGACGTAATGCCTGCAGCTTCGTACCATCATGCAGGACTCGTGGCCAGTGCTGATAGGAGGGCCAGATAAATGTCGGGGATCAATCTTGGTTACAGCTAACGAATAATGGCTTGCATTTTACCCAGAAGTGCTGCTGATCTGAAATAGAATGGCTCCTTACTCTCTCTACTGCTAGCATGGTCCTTTCAGTTTGATGCCTTTTGAGGGTCAATGAACTCCAACATGGTAGGGAGTAGACTCGTCCGGTTGCGTAGTAGGAGGCCGGCGCACCAATGCAGGCAGGAATTGGCCGAAAGCTAGGGATGCACTACACATAACTTACTTGACAGACCATCACCAAATCGGGTCATGATCATCTACGGCACTCCATGCACTTGCAGTCTTCTTGCAGCAAGTGTCGTCTCAGCCGATCGGGTGAAGATCCGCGCAGCCCCAACGTGACCACTTGCCTGCCTTTGTCCGGTCAGTGCCGATCCTTCCCCCCTCGATTCAGAGTGGTACAAAGTAGATACAAAGTAAGAAACCATGTTAGGGATCGGAATAATCTAACCTGATGAAGCGTAGATCGGCCAGGACATTTCCCCGCGCGACAGATACGACGTTTGGTCGTCCCCAGCACGAATGAGCAGCATACGGCTCGGGACGGTCGCGTAGTCCAACGGCTCGTACAGGCGACGTCAGCTGGTGATATTGCAGACTTACGAGGGAGGAATCGACGATGGGTTGTTGTTCGAAACAGTGTGGCCTTCCGGATGGGAATCTGCCCACCCAATGTAGTAGATGAAGGGCACTCGAAACAGCGTCGAGGAAACACCAGTTGCCCGTTGGCTATCTTGGAGAGTGACAGTGTCACCCCAGGCATCATCCAGAGAGCCATAGAAACCTACCCCAGCTTGCCAGTCCGAGTTGGTCAGGGACAACTGGGATGGGAAGTCAATTTTGCGTGGATTGCACGGCTGCTCCCCCGTCACGCGGGAGCGGCTTGTCGCGGTTCAGATGCAAGGTAAAGGCGGGGATGGCTTCCATCCGCCCAATTGCTCAATACTCTCTGGTTCGAGATGCATGGGTCGTATCGGTTGACCAAAAGTAACGCTGACAACGCGCCCACCCCGCTCAAGGTCGAACCGTTTCAATCACGCAGTCAGCCTCTGGAAATCATCAGCAAAGCACAGTTCTCAATTACGGACAACTTTCGTGTCTCGTACAAGCAAGCAGAGGTGGGAAATGAAGCAAATGATGGGATTAGAGCACTGCATCTCTGGCTAGGCTACTTGGCGCTTGGTGCAAGGATTCTGGGTTTACTTAGCCTGGACAGGCCAGGCAAGTCAAATGCAAATGTCATGCACTTCACCTATTAGGGAGCTTCACGGAGGATATTATACATGCGTGCAAACAAGCAAGGCGACTGCCCCGGATTTTTTGCTTTATGATGGAGAACAACTTCTTAATCACCGCTCTATGACCACTTTATGCAACAACCACAGGGTCCCGATGTTAAAGGATGATACCATAACGCCCGTAGATATCTGCCCTTCAGGCTTCATAGTTATAACAGAGGTATCCTCCAACCGGGTTCATGACGTCGGCCACAGTGACATCTGGCATTATATTGAATGTGGTCAGGGTGTAATTGAGCGTTGTCTGTGGCCAGCCTGATGCAGGCTCAACATTGGCCGACTCATTGATCGCAGGGCCACCCATGTCCCATAGGCGGTTTGCGGGATCATGCATCTGCCACCGGTACCACAGACGGTCGATATAGCCATGGTGCAGATAGAACAACGGGTCACCTGGGGAGGTCTTCACATCTTCCATCTAGTTTCCTATGCGTCAGTTCATTGAACCCATGCTCTTGACGATGGAAACAGCAAGCACTCACCACTCCGCCAACCGCCCAGTGGCCTCCTCGGTGAGGCGTGGCGGCAATGCAGGCAAAATATTCGTCATAGGAGTCGAATGTATTGCAGTGGGCGACTGCCGCACCCGTAGTATTCATTATCGCCTCGAAATTTCCCCAGCTGCGGTTCATGCAGAACACCGTGTTTTGATTCTGGGGACCAATATGTTCCGTATAGTATGCGAAGGCCCCATCGGTCACACATCCATCAGGTTCCGTGCCATTGCCACCAAACGCATCTGCATCCCACATCTCCGACCGGAACATGTTCCCGGAATCTGTGTCGTATGCCTCATTCCACCATCTGCAACGTAGTCAGCCTCCTTTCGTTCTGTGCCAACGAGGGGGTTCGCAACCTACGCCATTGGACCGGTATACCCACACTGCTCCTTCAGCANTGTCTCATAAGTATGCAGGAAATACCGNTGCCAGNGCAAGAATTGGCCCTATTCCATCAGACTCGGCTTTGACAATGTTTCTCGCGAGACTTACCACACTATGGATAATGTCACCCACTGGGGTGTTGGTAAGGGCGCGGTGCAAGGCCTGTAGATCGCTGAAGCGGTTCGTGGTCGCCTCTAGCCCCGTTTGTGCAGGAAGATCCATCAAGCAGTTCACGCCCTGGAGATAGCTTTGCTGTTCGACCTTGGTCATATTCCGCCATTCCTTTCGAATGGTCATCTTCTCTGGCGTACACCCCCCTGAGAACAGCCCTGGATCAAGGGTAGTCGCCGCATCAGAGGTTGGGGTTGCGCTGGTAGAAACCAGCCTAATCGCGGGCAAAAGCCAAAGGGCGGAAAGCATCATATTCAACGTGTTGCTAGCAAGATTGTAGCCCACTGGCGGGTCAATATTATGAGCGACGGCCAGTAAAGGAGGCACGACGACTTTTTTGTGGACGATCCACTCGGTTTTTGCCCCAAGCAGAAACTAGCCAAGTGGAAACGAGAAATTTTATGTCTGGACTTCAATGTCTTATCGCAAATAGTTCGATCGATCCTCATTCTTCGCTCATGCTGAATTCGGCCACCTTTGCCTATCGATATCCCGAAATAGCCGAATAACCCACAGATCAGACAGCCATGTTCAGCTTCCAAGGTTGCGATCCTAAGATTCCAAGCGTCCACCAACCGATTCAGTAGCTGGGCCACGGCTTAGCCATGATGGAGCAGTGTTTATTTGTGGACAGACCTGGTCTCCCTGTTTGGTATGTGAGGAGCATTCCAAAGACAAATGGCCCAACCACAGCGGGCATGTAAACTCAATGCCTTCCGCAGTCAACAACATACAATTCTCACAGAATAAGGCTGGAAACTGGATTGCCACGCCGTCGCCAGATATGTGGCTGGACATTCCGCCCTGCAACCCTGTTATTTCTTATTCGCGAGGGCTGATTGCCAAATTAGTGGATCCATGCAATCCAGAGTTGTTGACAGCGAGATTGGCAGGTCAAGAAGGGCGTTAATTCCAGCATCTGTTCTCCAGCCCATCATCTGACTCTCGAATAACTTTGTACTTTTTATTCCACTTCCTCTCCATATTGCCGCTTATTTAGCAACGAGCTTGAGTCAGTCACGAACCAGAGCAGTCTTTGACGGGAGCGCTTCACCCGGTACGAAGGGAATGCAGCCCAGACCTCCACAGGAACGGCACGGCATGCGATTATTTCTAAAACGGGATTCTGCCAGCCTTGCCAAATGAAAGCGCATCCGACTGTCCGACGAAGAGGTTTCCTCACCAAGATGTACGCCGATGATGGAGTGACGCAGCATCCCTTGTCGCATGCCTTTACAACGTCTGCAGTACAGGTGAGTGGGATTAAGGCCTTCGTGTTCCACTCCTCAACTAATGTGGACTAGGGCAACTAATTGATAGACGAATCCCAGTCAGGGCTTTCGCGACATGGAGCATGCCGTCATGCACATTGCCCATCACGTATGCCTGGTGGCTTGAGTTTGCGAGTGACCTAGCCAATGTTCACAGCAAGGCCTCTTTGGGCCAAGATGCAAGCCGTTTATAAACCACGCCCTGGGATGTATTCCCAGCCGGGTACGGCACACGCGCATCGCCTGCTGTGTTTAAGTCCGCCAGCCAAGCACCCGTGCTTGACCATTTCAGGCGTACAGACAGCGACTAGCGCATTGAGGGATCACCGGCCTATGTTATCATTGTTCGTTTGACTACACCCAATGTTGAACCGTTTCAATTTCACTACAATCGCATGCCATCAAATAACCACGGGCGATTGTAAGCTCATCTGGCTCTGTGGAGTGGGGGGTCCGAACATAGTGAATGCTTCCAGGGTCTGACGCCAAATGCCCGTGTCCCAGTCGTTCTGCATCAGCGTTTCAAGGTACACAGCCGGTTCCGGCTGCACAGGCAATTGACTTGGTGTCCAGTGGGGTTGCGACTCGAAAACTATGGAAGGGGGCGGGCCCTGCCATGAGACGGGGGGTCGAGGAGGGCCATAAGCCTCGCTCGGATGTTGCACCACATGACTAATACTGCACTGGCGCTGCGCCTCACTTTTGCTTTTCTCTAGCCATGCCACCATGCTAATCACTCGGCAATTCGACCAGATATCATCACCAAGAGAGAGCGAAGCAATCTTTCGCATGGTGGCCAGGACGTCCTCGTGAACCCGCCGACTGTCTATTTCTGGTGTCGGGTGGTTGTAGTTCCCGAATAGCAAGCTCACTTTGGCAAGAACCAGCATCACGTACCAAAGGGTATAATATGAGGAGGCCGGCAGGTGCACAGCCACATCTGGTGGTACCTGGAGATACGTGGCAAGAACCCGGTGAGCTGAGGCCGTAAGATGCTGCAGCCGATTGATCTCCCGAAGTCGAAAGATATCTCTGCGGCGCTGTACTGCTTGCCCCAAAGTCAAAGTGGTGAGTGCAGTGAGCTCCAGACGAAGGGCCCCTTGTGATTAGATGGTTAGCTTTCCGAAATAGGGGCAGAAGCAGGTTTCTTGAAGCGCCAGCAACTCACAGTTGTCACACGAGGCGAGACGTGATAGTTGGTCCTCAGTCTGCCTCTCTTGTCGTTCGATGGAATCTACGATTTGCTCCCATGACGCATCCCGAGGGTGGTAGGAGCAGAGGCATACGTCTTCATCGAAGACACATTGCGTACGTCGCAAGAAATTGTTGGAGAGAATATATTCCCCTAGGAGGACGTCGCTAGGGTATTCCGGCTTCCGAGCAAGGTCCTCCACACACTGCGTAATCCATTTGGTGTGTCTCATCGTCACCTGCCGGCGAAACAGTGTCGACCTTTAGTGTGAACGTTAGTTGCACCTCTGAATGCCAAGCGCGGAAGGAAAGGTCTTCCTAATGTAACAGGCGACACTCACGTGCAACACAAATGATAGCAGCCGAGCAGAGCCCTCTGCTCTGTGGGGTTGGAATGATGGCGTTGGTTGTCTGCAGGCTCTGGAGGAATAGGCTGCATGCGGATGTTCTCGTCCTTGTCTATCCCCAGATCGACGACAACCATGTGGGCCATTTCAAGTAGCATGTACTTGTGGATATGCGGGGTCCGCCAGTGGTAATGAAACCATGCGCAATGGACAAGAAGCCCTAGCAGTAGATCGAGGTTGCGTTCACTCTTGGCGATCAAACGGGTGGCTGCCGTTTCCCGGACGAGGGCCTCCAGTTTGTGTTGCAGGAGCGGTTTGTGTTCCATACACACGGTGACAATGCACAGCAGGAGGAAAGGTGAGCGCTGGCGGAGTACCTCGATCTCCATGTCGGCGGATACGATCACGAAGGGGAATTAGGCCATTTTCTGGGTACGAAACTTGTCCATGAGCTCGTCGGCCTCCCGTAGGGTGACCAACCCGCCTAGCACGGGTTCCCCCGATGCCTCATCGCTGGGTCGGGAGCTCTCCCGGCGGTGGTGGGGTCGCGGCGAGTCTGGTGGGTGCGTAGACAGAGTTGCACTGGAGACACTGCCGTGGTGAGAGAATTCACCTTGCTGGGTACAATTAGAGCGAGCCTTATTGAGGCCTCATCCGCAATATGGGGGGAGAGGAATTGCATACCTTCTGGCCCAGTTGCGCTGCCAAGTTATCAATCTGCTCCTGAAGGGCATCAATGCGGGTCTTCCTGTGATGGCGGAGGGGGGAGATCAATCAGCCAATGGTCGGTCGCCGGGGATATATTCAGTATAGTAGTAGTAAGTAGTAGTAGTCTTCTATGTAGTATGTGTAATCACGAGGCCGGGAATGTGGATCAGGATGAATGCAGGCTAATTGGGAGGATTGTAGAAGCAGAAAAAGCAACAATGTCGGATGACAGGTGGGAGGGAATGCTAAAGCGACAAAAGTGCATTAAACAGTACCATAGATAGACAATAGGTATGTTATGAAGTAAGTAAGTACGTACTCACCTGGGACGGTTGACATGGGGGGACTCAGGCAGCGAGCATGGCTGGCCCAACCGGGTGCAGCGCACGCACGTGCCCGTGGGGGGAACGGGCACGCAGCGGACTTTCAATCGAACGCATCGGACGCAAGCATGGCGTCGCGGTGGCTGCTTGCGATTCATTTGCTCCGCAGCAATGTGGGTTCGTCACCGTTAGAGCCAGGCACAAAGCAAGCACGTTTGGGGGGGGGGGGGCGGCGTTGGACGTGGCAGAAAGGGAGAGGGGGGGGAAGGAAGGAAACCAGAAAGTGGGAAGATGCAGGGGGGAATTGTGTCTAGCTTGCTCGTGTCGAGTGACAGACCAGAAAACTAGTACTAAGTTAGTGCTGACGGGATTGATTATTCCTCTGAAAAAGTCCCCTTCTCCCGAGTCACATGAGACGGGCCCGCGCTTCCCTTCAATTCCTCTGTGCTTCCCCCGTCACCATCTACCGTAAGTTAGTAGTCTCTCTCCATAGTACTCTCCGTTCACTTCTCACTGTTACTTTTCATCCTCTCCTTCAACCTCCTTCCCTCTTACCATTGTTCTAGATAGATATTCTTCTTCGCCTTCTATCTTCCAATTGCATTTCACCCCCTTACTTCTTCCACGACATTAGTACCTCTTTACGTTGCAGGGTCCCCGCCAATGGCAACCAATCCCAAGGCTGCTCGAAGCGGGAGGCTGCACTAGAGATGCGGCATCGGTGCGACCGAGTCGGAGTCGGAGCAGGAATCAGCCGGACAGACTATTGAGCACTAGCAACAACTGTCCATCTCGTCTAGATAACGATAATTGCTGTTATCCCCTCTCGCTCTACCTCATCAATTTTAGTCATCCTCTAGTTTCCATAGTTGCATGAATGAAACTGTTCAACCAACGATGAGCTCTTCAGGTCTGGCTTTCCGGGGAACCAGACGAACTGGTGGATCGCCGATCGCTGTCACGCTCCACTCTTCGACACCATGGCTCCAGCTATCGATATAACAGACGATTGTTCGGGTGATATGCTGTAGCGTACATTATTTACTTGTACATCACCAGCCATTCAGATCTTCTTCTCTGACAATTGTTTCACATTACGGATACATACTGGTAGCACGGCTAAATGTTGAAGTCACTTCCGGATGCTGCTGGGTCCGGTCGGCTTCTGTGTGCGAAGAGCGTCGCGGATCATCAGAATATGAGATTAAACCTGCATCTAGATTCACGACCACAATGGCCATCCTTGGGATGTCGTTCTACCCAACTGTGCGTTTAATTCAGGGCACTAGGCACTGATCCATGGGTCCGTGAGGACGATCCCAGATTGTCCCTTTGTGATAAGGTTTGTACCCCGCAGCAGAGTGCACTGTCCAGGGCCATATGTGGGGAGAACAGCTTATCCAGCCTTGATTCCGTGGGTACATATTGCTTTCTCCAGGCTTGTTTTTGGGGCCTTCCCTAGCATCAACGGGCCTTTCCGTCCGCATTCTCAACAACGTGTATTGAAGCAATCCAGTTCATCACATTGTAGCCTCTTGAGTAACCTTCAACTTGTTCAATCGGATTAGCCATCGAGCTATGTTTGCCATAAGAACGGTATTTTTACGATCTGGCGGACACGAAATTTCAAATCTATCATTTGCCACTCCACGGTACACACGGTGAGAGACAGGTAACACCATTGAAAAGAGGAAAAGAAAAGAGGGAGGGGGAATCACAACAGAACGAGATGAATGAATGTGTAAATAAGTGAAGTGGAAAGGTAAATTCCGTTCCTCTTCCCAGAGCTTCGGCCTGATCATCCAAATGAAGTCATCGAGTTGATTTATGGAACACAATTTCACTACCGTTGGGATTCCCCCTGATCTGGATAATGTCTACGAGTGGTGTGCAACCAGAAGAGACATGATGCACTGCCTATAGAACACCAGGCAGTACTGAGGGCGCTTGCTGATCGTATGACGTATCGACATCCTGAGACACAGGTGTAGTTGTCAGTTAGGCCAAACGTAGTATGTTTCATTATTTTCATTGCTAATCGTCGGCCTACCATAGTCCACCCTCGTCGAAAGGCCACTGAGGTCAGCCAGTCCTGCTCCCACATACTGGTAAACAGAAACCCTAGGACGCCCCAAAACCTTGCCATCGTTTCAAACATTACAGAATGGCGCGGCTCATGATCAAAAAGCGATCCCAAGACCACAGATAGTGCCTGGGGTACGATGAAACACAGAGGGTTCTGTTAACGGAAACATTTCCCGCGGAAACGGGGTCCATGCGTGCCCGTGATAAGGCTTTCAAGTCGGTCAGGGAAACTACATTAGGCGGCATCATCAATAGGTAACCCCTGCAGTATGAGACGTCCGGAGAACAAAGTCTCCATCAATGGTTGCACCAGTAACCTTGGGTTGGAGCCCTCCCATCATGCCATAGCGGGCATATACCAACCGAAGATTTCCCGGACGAAAAAATTAGAGCCTTTTGCTGACGACGCCTGCAGAGCTACCAGACAGTAGCACTGCGGGTCAAGCCACAGCAACGTCCGCGCGGAGGTAAGATGAAACAGTGGTGGCTTTACCACCGCGCATGCGCTCCGTTAATCGTAGGAGGCTAGATACCGCAACGCGGCTGGTCTCCTGGCGGAGTGGAAACTCATGCAGGGGCTAGACCCAGTGGACTTAGATCCCAGATCAGGAGGCCAGGATGCCGTCACCGCCGTTAATGCGGGGGAGATCAAGTGCGCGATGGGAGCATACACGCAGTAAGGCAGAGGAGGCTATCCACTCCGGATATATGCTTATTCCGTGTACTGTCACGTGCACTTAATCCCGATCGTGGGAGGATTCTAAATACAGTTAGCGTGTCTCATGGTCTCACGCAGGACCATTTGGAAGCGTCCGTGACATTCTCTGAATTGTAGACCACTGGTAAACTGAGAGCCTGAATCAATAGCGAAGTTCCAAATGCAAACATTACATGCTCTGCCTTGAATGAGGCAACATGGAGGGAACCATCTATCACACGCAATGGCTGTGGAAGCCATGGCATACTGCAGGCACGCTACGAATAGCTTCGCGTCCACGCAGCTTCACTGATGATGTACATGCAACATTTGTTTGTTGTGCTTTGGTATTTGTAGATATGCGGAGATCTTTATGGTTGGTGCGTAACACGCAGTAGCTGGTCAGGGGAATCTGGGTGGAATCCTTCTTGTGCACAATCACCAGAACCGGCCGATCGGCCAGTCTTTCTCATTTGTCCTTGAGGTGACTCGTGGTGGTTACCGCAGTACATAGATAGTATCGCCCGCCCCAGCACCAGTTGTTATCCATATCCTGCACGGTAAAGCTCTCTGGGGTCTTGTGCTATTCCGTCTCATCGAACGGCCAGTCAGTATCGCAGTTCTCGTGGAGTATAAGGTTCAAATGGTAAACGAGCAGTGGAAGGAAGATGTTATTCCTGAACTGGCGATGCAAAGGCTTTAGTTATCGGACTTTCTAGGCAGAGTAACTGTCAGTGGTGCCTAAAATCAACCTAAGGATGAGTTTCTGGGGATGTCACTCAGTATGAATTGCAGTTCTCCGGGTGGAAATACAGTGGGTGATTCGGGCATATCCAATGGAGACAACTCTTGTATCGAAGTCTCCGCGCATTGAGGAAAGTGAGAGGTGTATAAAAGCTCTTCCCTGTGAATATGTTGCGGCTTAGTGGCTCCGCCCGCGCGGGAATCTGGAGTGGCGCAGATCGGCGAGGAGATCTACACAATAGAACTTCGTCCACTAGACAAGAACGATCATGCTCTTGCTGGGTAAAAGGATTTCCTTGTAAGACATGATTCAGAAGAACGGAAGAACACTTGAACAAAGCATGATCGTCTGTTAACACGGTTTACACGGGATGATCTCCCGCTCTGAGACGCGATCTGCATCTGTCCCGAGTGATCTGCCGTGTTGGTTGTGGAAGGTTGTCGGAAAGCCATCATCTGATATAAGATAGTTATCTTTTGGTCATAGTATTGAGTGCAATTTGTCTTAAATTTATATCAAGTTAAAAGTATTAGTCCTACAATAGTTGTGCTACTAATTGCATGGTCTGCTGCGTTCAATTGTTTTTGGTTGATATTTGTATTTCGTGCTACCCGCACCAAAATATATATTTCTTCCTGTCTCCGATACTCATCATTCTATTACCGAATTTCATACCGCCAAATGTTTACTTGACTGTGGCGAGGACAATCAAAATCAAATAACAAAAACAGTCTAGATGATGGTGAATATATTGTAGTTTGATACTTGTGTTGTTCGGTGTTGAACGTAGGCTCTCTATTGCTTGCGAGATTGCTAGTTGCCCAAGAGAATCAAATATTGGTTGCTTAGGATATGAAGAATTTCGTGGCATATACAGTGTTATTGGCACACTCAATCTGATGTCTGCCCTTCTAAGTGTTGGTGTACATTCACGATCCGACAAATCAGGTCGTCACGCCGGAAATTGTCAAGCTGTCAAGCAAAGAATTCGAGATCCTCAACGACATTCGGAACACGTTCAAAAAATCAAGAGATCTTTATTTCTACGGTGTCATTAAAAGTATCCCCCTTCAACCTGAAGGTCGTGAAGTGTGACCAGGTGCGTGTCTTGTCAACCACCCAATAACGAGCTGCTACGACTTCTAAGTTCAGAACTCGACTACTTCACCTACAAATAATGCCAAAGCCATCCGTACTATGGAAACACCATGTCACAGTTCCCCAAAAGTAATCATTGTTTTGCCTGCTGCAAATTGTGGGATCCCGAGAAACTCGTACGATAGCAGGAAGGTCAGCCGAGGGACGACTAGCCCCCAGCAACAGTACTGGCTTTTGGCAAATTAGACAGATTGCACCATGCCATATCTCGTATTCCCAACAGCCGTCTCAGAACCGCAAACCCCGAAGGGATGAGGCCGCTGACGTAGAATAAGGTAAGACAGCTAATGAGAGGGATAATTGCTCCAATGATCCGATGAGCCCCTGAGGAAGAGAGAGAAGGAAAGAGATAGAAAAATGTTGGGAGTGAATCACGACCCATCGGATCCAGTAGAAAGAAATTACCTGAATGTCCATATCATGATTCAATCAATCTTGGGAGAATCACGCAAGAGGCTGTCCATGACCATTGGAAGGCGAAGGATGTTAGTGGGGGAGACATTAATTAACCACGCTGGCGGGGGCTAAACCGAACTAGCAATAAGCATAGATTAAAGATTAAGGAGGTAAAATTCCGGGTGTGGCCGTCGGATCCGGATATCCAGGCAGAGAGGCAATCCCGATGTGGGCATGCCTATGCCGAGTGGTGGTTGTTGACGTTTTGTTTGGCTGGCGACCCGGCCCGGTCAGCAGTCGAGATTCTTCATCAGCGATTCCTCAGCAACAAGTCAATATGGATGTCAATTTCGTAAATTGAATCCAATCAAGCTAGAATTAAAACCAGAATTAACAGGATGCCGGACAAGACCCGATGGAAACTCCGAGCAAACCGAGCGAAGCACAGCAAAAACCGGGCGGGGAATGTCCGATTGGGGGAAAAAAGATAAAAGGAAAAGTCATGCGGGAAAAGCAATGATCTGCCGTCTTGGCGGCCTTGGCACCCCAAGTCCCGCTCTGCGGGCCAATCATCATCGCACCTACCCTGAATGCCGCGTGTTAGTGCAAGGGCTTAGGGCTACTCGGAGGAGCCCGTCGCAGCAGTGGAGGGGATCCCAAGGTGGGAAACACCAAGAGAGGGACGTCGAACATCACGATCATCCGGAACATACCCACCGGCTCCGTAAACCTCCATCAGGAGAAGTGTTCCAAACTTCCATGAGCCATGGCTTCGAGGACCACCAGCGCTCTATATAAAGACGAGCCCGTCGACCGTCTCGGATCCTTTCCTCTCTGGCTCAACACACACAACTTTGTCATTCTTTCTCTTGTTTCTCTTTTGTTTCTAATTGTAACCTTTGTCACTCTTTTTTAAACCAACTTGCAAAACTTCCAGGATGAAGTACGCTGCTGCTCTCACGGCTGTTGCCGCCCTCGCTGCCCGCGCCGCTGCTGTCGGTGTCTCCGGCACTCCCGTGGGTTTCGCCTCCTCCGCCACTGGTGGTGGTGATGCTACCCCCGTCTACCCTACCACCACCGATGAGCTGGTCTCTTACCTCGGTGATGACGAGGCCCGTGTCATTGTCCTGTCCAAGACGTGAGTTTTGAATCCAAAGCAGAGAACGAATCGATTCCCGGCTGACCAGTGTCCGAATTTGCCAGTTTCGACTTCACTGACACTGAGGGCACTACCACGACCACCGGTTGCGCTCCCTGGGGTACTGCCTCCGGCTGCCAGCTGGCCATCAACAAGGACGACTGGTGCACCAACTACGAGCCCGATGCTCCCACCACCACCGTCACCTAGTAAGTTGCCTTCTGAGGTAACCTCGAGTATAAGGGAAGAGAAAATGCTGACAAGAGGATAGCAACACTGCTGGTGAACTCGGTATCACCGTCAACTCCAACAAGTCCTTGATCGGTGAGGGTACCAGCGGTGTCATCAAGGGCCGTGGTCTCCGCATGGTCAGCGGTGTCTCCAACATCATCATCCAGTATGCATCGTCCAGGACTACATACATTACTCCCATCGCAAACTAACCATGGAATTCCCACAGGAACATTGCTGTCACCGACATCAACCCCGAGTACGTCTGGGGTGGTGACGCCATCACCCTCGACGAGGCTGACTTGGTCTGGATTGACCACGTTACCGTAAGTCGCCATCCAGCATCATGATTTTCATCCTTCCACCACTAATGAATGCTTCAGACTGCCCGCATTGGTCGCCAGCACTACGTCCTCGGTACCGACGCCGACAGCCGTGTCTCCATCACCAACAACTACATCAACGGCGAGTCTGACTACTCTGCTACTTGCGACGGCCACCACTACTGGAACGTGTACCTTGACGGCTCTAGCGACAAGGTCACCTTCAGTGGCAACTACCTGTACAAGACCTCCGGCCGTGCCCCCAAGGTCCAGGACAACACCTACCTCCACATCTACAACAACTACTGGGAGAACAACTCGGGCCACGCTTTCGAGATCGGCTCCGGTGGCTACGTCCTCGCCGAGGGTAACTACTTCTCCAACGTCGACACCGTCCTCGAGACCGACACCTTCGAGGGTGCTCTCTTCTCCTCTGACAGCGCCTCCTCCACCTGCGAGTCCTACATTGGCCGTTCCTGCGTTGCCAACGTCAACGGCGGTGACCTCACCGGCACCTCCACCACCGTCCTCTCCAACCTCAGCGGCGACACCCTCCCCTCTGCTGATGCTGCCAGCACCAGCCCCGCCTCCAACGCTGGTCAGGGTAACCTGTAAGCGGTATCGCTCCGTCGGGCTCTTACTGCAGATCGCTTTGGTGATGTTGTCGAGTTTGATGATTCAGACAAGACGAGTTGAGTTTTCTGCTGTTGTACAGCGGAAAAGTGTGTTCGCTTAGATTCTATCTTAGCCTAATCAATAATTCTAAGATGGACTTGATCCATAGTAATTCTCCATTCAATTGTGATTTAGTAAATTTGATTTTCTTTGCCTAGTCGCGCTTCTAAACTAGGATCACAGCTGCTCTTAGATCCTCGATGCCCAAGGCCACTAACGCTTTCTGCCTCAGGACTCCACAGTCCGAGACGGATGTACTGCCTGAGGCCTAAGTGTGCTTCTGCCCAAGGCAACAATGGGCATGATCATACATTCACTATACTTGTGCTCTAAGGAATAGTAGGATCGGATGTGAACCATTATATTTAACTGAGTGATCTGTGGTCTTTTCATATTTGCAATGACTTGCTTAACTTATTTGGCCGTTCTTCCATAGATGCGATCATGTTCGGTAGACTTCAAAAACATGTGATTGCTGACATATTCTGCCTATTTCTGCTGCAAGGCGTATGAAAAATGGCATTCCTGTCGTGGCTAATGGCCAAATGCTATGGCATCACAATACTGTTTCTGCTGGCTATCACATTGCATCGAGCTAGCGTGGATGTTTGGCGCTATAGCAAGGCCAGGCCACACAGCCTCGTGAGGGGTAAATAGGTGATGAGCTTCAAGGGCGCTAAAACGCCGAAATAGTCAATCCAGATTCGAAACACCATATGCCTTTCTGAATAGGCAATTGTATGCCGCGTCTCTACATCATGAGTCCACTACCCAATCTTACTCATGACAGTTATAACATCGCGTTCATCTGCCCAACGGGCATCGAGCTCGCCGCCGTCGAGGGAATGCTGGATGAACTGCACCCAGCCCTCCCTTCCACCATTGACAAGAACAGCTATACTTATGGCCGCATGGGAGTACACTATGTAGTAGTGGCAGTATTGCCCGAAACAGGCAACGACCGGGCCGCATCTGTCGCGACACAACTTAACAACGACTTCAGATCTCTCCGATTCGGTTTACTGATCGGGACTGGTGGGGGCATACCAGACCTTGCAAAAGGTCGAGATATTCGGCTTGGGGATGTGGTGGTCAGCAAGCCGACTGAAATATTTGGAGGCGTAGTACAACTTGATCGCGGGAAATCTCATGCTCATGGTCGATTCGAGCGAACGGGGATACAGCAGAAGCCACCGGATATTCTCCTGTCTACGGCGCAAAGGTTAGACGCTCTTCATGCGCGCCTTGATACTCATATTCCCTTCTTTATGGAGGAAATGCTCGAGAGATATCCAAAGATGAAGAACCGGAATTATGTTCATCAGGGAGACGAAAAAGACCAACTGTTCCGGACGGAGTATGAGCACGCAGGTGGATCAGACTGTGGGCACTGCCACCCGATCCAGGCCATTGAACGTGTGCCACGAGAGGATTCGACGCCAGCCATTCACTATGGAACTATCGGGTCTTCCAAGACCCTTCTCAGAGACAGTGTGAGAAGGGAGATTCTGAAAGCCGACTTCGATATTCTGTGTGTTGAGACGGAAGCAGCGACGTTGATGAACGAGATCCCTTGTCTGGTAGTCTGTGGCATCAGTGACTATGCAGATTCACATAGTAACACGACATGGCAGCCATACGCTGCTGCTACGGCTGCTGCATATGCCAAGGAGTTGCTTTCGCTGATTCCTCCTCTGAGCAAGCCTTCAAAAGACAACATCGAAGTGGCTCCGTTTGCATCGAAACAGCAAGCTCCCACTATTCCAACACCTAGAATTAAATACTTGATTCATGATCCGGTCGCTGGTGATTTAGTAGCTGGAAGGAACTTGTTCAGCAGTGGAATCTATCCTGATGGCAAGATGGAAAGGTGCATATATGATTAGTCTCAAAATACAAGGAAACCTTGACAGATGATATGATTGAGAGCAGTCGACTATCAAATACTCCACCTACACCTGTGCATTAGCATACGCATCACATTGTAAGTTGTATTTCAGTGACGAGAGCATGAAACGTCGTTAGTGCACTAGAACAGCGTCTATCATCTGTGATCGATCATATATTACACCTCTCCTTGGTCATACCAGCTCACGTCCATCATCCATCCTACAGCTTGTGATTGAACCTGACGCTTTGCCTTGAGTAAAGATTACCATCGTTCCGCAATCTTGCATTCTAAGAAGTCCTATAACACTATAAGATTCGTGATATTGACGGCTGCTGCTATGTTGTGTGCAGTATGAAATGAAACTGGTAACTCCTAGACAATATAACACCAAACTAGACGGATTTGTTTATGGACGTAGCTATCACCTCATCGTCATATCCCATTTGATTGTTCACGAGGCGCGGTTCCATCGAGGGCTTCACAAGACTCTTGCCCCCCTACATGAGTATACTCAACAAAGAAAGCAAATATAGCATTAACATACTACGTCGACCGCTGTTGTGGGGCCCATATATCCTTCTGCTTTAGGAATTCGAGGAGTTGGTCCACCCCCTGCTGATTCTTGCTGGCAATGGAGGCATCCCCAGCCGCCCTGGCGGGACCTGGGTCATTGAGCGTCTCGACGCGTCGGGTTGAGTTGCGAACAACTTCTAGGATTGTTCCACCCTCAAGCTCCTTCTCTTCCATGCATCGTAGCATGGCTGAGGCGACCTCTTCGGGCGTTGCCCATCCATCCTTCTCCTGGTCGATAAGCATCAACTTCTCCTGATTTTCAACCCACAATGGCGTACGTATGAGACCGGGGGCCACTGCATTGACGCGGACGCCAATGGCTTGTTCGAGGGGGGCTAGACATCGCACAAAGCCGGTAATGGCGGCCTTTGAAGCGCCATACATGGGACACACAACGTTCGGCAGTTGGGCTGCCACGGAGGAGATGTGAATAACGCGGCGGGGATTCTGCGGGGAGACAGGAGTCACGTTGGGGCTCGTCGGATGCAACCAGTGCGACAAGGCCAGTTGCGTCGTTCGGATCGGATGCGTGACGTTGATATCCAGCAGAGCGTACCGGTCGCTGTCGTCCTTGTCTTTGCTGATCGCGGAACCGGGTGGCTGCCAGAAATTCGACCACGGGGGCTCGTAGACCCCAGCCCCAGGACAGAGGATATGGAACTCTTCGAACAAGGACAAGGTCAAGTCGAACATGCGATTCAGGTCTGCCCAAGAGGTGACGTCTGTGCGAATGAAAACTGCTCGCGGGGAGGAATCGGCGGCCTCATACTTGGCAATGAGTTGCTCGGCTTCTGGTCGCAATGCGATATCGGCCACTACCAAGTTGCAATTCCGGGATAGTAGAAGAGATGCAAATGACAGATTGATCCCTATCACCATCAGAAGACCGTCTAGCGAAGGGAAGGAGGGGAGACTAACCCGAGCCAGCGCCCGTGACAATGGCCGTCTTCCCTTCCACCGAAAAGGGCACAATATCTCCCGAAGAGGCTGTCATGGTTGTGGTTACAAGTGTGACAGCACAAAAGCTCCCGAGCTGCTAAACTACCCCTCTGCCCAGTCGAAGCTGGAGTCTAAATAGCTGTTTCCTGAGTGCCGATGGGAGCGGGGAGGGTGTCCCGTCTGTGATGTGATGCGAGGCGAGTTGCCAGCGTGCGGGGAACGAGCAAATCACATATGCTGGTGAACATCGGGCTTGATCCGACCATCCCGGGCCAGATTCCGTGGTCCTTCAAGTAGTGAGTAGAAGTAGTGAGTAGCCGTGAGCAAGAAGTGAGGGTCAAGCAGTCAAGCAGACAGTACCGATTGGGTGGACCAGTCAAGGAACCACGGACCGGCGGCTGTCATGGAGGAGAATCCGACCGGTCGCGATCCACCGATCTGTCCGGAAGTGATCTCATGACGGCTGGGTGAGAAGCTTGATGATATTAGAATGCAGACGATCGACCATTATGAGGCATGGGTCAAGGGGATGGATGAATTGCATGGGTGAATGTGGAATGCAGACAGCATCTTTTCCCCCCGGCGAGGATGGAGAAGTGGAGCCTTGGCAAGGGGGCAGTGCTTTTTGCTTAAGAGACTCAGCCACACTCAGTCATGCTTTTTGACCCCTTCATAAAAGCGAGGGGAGACATCCCCATCTTGTATCTTGAAGTAGTCCTCCTTCAATCACGGATATATGAAATCATACTCAGGAGACCCGGAGTGGTCCAATGCACATCAACGTGAATCATCTCATGTAGTAAGTAGCCAGTAAATACTCAAAATGCTGTTATGTGTCTGTGGAGATTCACCGATCCAGTCCCAAACTCCTTCCCAATGATCATCGTTATCATCATGTACTCATTAATTCAAGATAGCAGAACATGGAGAAAAGAACTGCCATGAGACTCCCAACGCCTGGCTGATTGCCTATCCCTATTGGGTATGACGCATGTGTATTCCCGTCGTGCGATCCGCCGCCAACACTCGATACACGCGCAGCAGATCTTCCATCGACGCCTGCGTGTCCGGGTGCGTTTTCCCCAAGACCTTCTCCCGGCCACGCACCGCTTGCTCCGCCAGCGCCTCGGCTTCATCCCAGCGGCCCTGTGACTGGTAGATGGCCCCCAGGTTGGCCATGGTCGTCAGTGTGTGGGGATGGAGCGGTCCGAGGTTCTTCTGCATCAGACGCAGCACCTGTGCGGTCAATGCTTCGGCGCTCCCTGTCTTGCCTTGACCCTGGTAGGTCAAGGCGAGATCCGCCATGGCAGTCAGGGTTAACGGGTTCTGCTCACCCAGGCGTGACTTCATCACAGCCACCGCTCGTGCCCCGAGACTGGCGGCCTCTTCCATGCGATCCTGGCCCCGGTAGGTGGACGCCAAGTTGATCATCGACATCAGGGTCTGCGGATGCTGCTCCCCTAGCTCGATCTTGCTTATCTCTACGACCTGCGTCTCCAGATGTTCTGCGTCCTCCAATCGCCCCTGGTCCCGGTACATCGTTGCAAGGTTCGCCATGGATGTCAGCGTCAACGGGTGGTGGGTTCCGAGTCGCTCGATCCGGATCTCCATCACTTCCGACTCCAACTTCAAGGCTTCCTCCAATCGACCCTGCTCTCGATACGTGGCTGCCAGGTTCGACTTCCACATCAAGGTGGACCCATGGTGCTCACCCATCGCACGTGTACATTGTTCCACTACCCTCTTCTCCAGTCGTTCTGCATCATCATATCGCCCCATGTGAGTGTACGTGTTGGCCAGGTTGCCCATGGACGTGAGGGTAGATTGGTTGTCCTGGCCGAATCTTCGCGTCTTGATCTGCAGCAGACGAAGTTCGAGCGCCTCGGATTGTCGCCAATGCCCCTCCCTCCGATATGCGGTAGCCAAGTTGGACATGGAGGCCATCGTGTGGGAGTGATCCTCTCCCAGGACCTTGCGACGGGCCTCTGTGACCTGGCGACCCAGATCAATCGCTTCCGTCCAACGGCCCTGGCCACAGTACCCCGATACCAAGTTGTGGACCGCAGCCATGGTGATGGGATCGTTGGGACCTAGCTGCGCCCGTCGGGCATCGACCACAATCGTTCCGACATCTACGGCCGAGTTCCACTGACCTCGCTCAAGGAAGGCGAGGACCAGCGCCTCGAAGCGCTTCAGCGCGACGCCCGAGTCTCCCCGGTTCTCACTGGAGACCTGCTCCACCACCGTCTCTAGCTCAGTAGCTGCATCAGCATGTCCTTGCTTCCGATACCGTTTCGACAGAGCCCTGAACGCCCTCAGATACGAAGGAGAGAGCGAAACATCCATCGATGTACGGAGGGCGGACTTCCCGCGGATCCCCCAAAACCTTGACAGGGGCAGAAATAACAAAGCGTCGGAGATGCGGAGGGATAGTTCTTGTCGATCGCCGGGTGAATTGGGTGTGGAAAGGTGGAAAGGAAGAACTTAAAACCCGAGGGGCTCCGATGAATTAATAATCCAAGATGTGAGGAGATAACGGCCAACAATCGTGTTACTAGAGGAGAGGGGAAGAGGGGAGGTTTTGGCAGTCGCGAATATGCTCGGACAAAAGACGCGGATGGGCGAAAGGGGGGCGGTGATAAGGTGAGGCGCATCAAGAGCCGCTCACGGGAGATGACTGATGGAGAGAGACTTGGAGGAAACAAGATGAAGGAGACGGACAGTATGGCGACGAGTGGACAAGGAGATGCAGGATGGAGAGTCCCAAGTCAGAGCATGACCAGATTCATTTGCTGCCGCCAAGCCGCTAGGGCGCTGGAAAGGCTGGAGGATCCCATCGTCTTTCTCCGAGTCAGTTCTTTCGTGCGTGTCGGGGGGCCGTTGCGTTCCCATCACTTGCCCCGAGGTTTCCGGTTATCAGCCAGTCTCAATCCCTGATTGGTACACCCTGCAACTGGCCACGTTGGAAGCAACTTGAAGTGGACTGGCAATCAAAAGCAGTGGAGATTGCACCAGTTGGACGCGATGGATGGGAAGGCCTTCCTTTCCCTTTTCAGCCCTGTCGGGCCAGAAATAGTAAAACCATGGCAAATGACAGCCGCGATTACCATACCGTTTCGAACACCTCCCATACCGTCTGATACGGTATTGTCTCATTCGGTTCAGCTTCAGGTTCTGATGCTGATCCGGATTCCACTCATCTCAGCCTCTCCTCTTCTCTGCTCCCTCTCTCTCTCTCTCGGTCTTTTACTCTTCCCTTCCTTTGCCTACCGCTCTCACGGGGCCTCGTCATCACGTCCCTGCTCTACAACATCACTTTCCTTCCCCCCTATCACCCACGTCATCCTCCCCGTCACCGTCGGACTGAAGCCATGATCGTCGGGGTTTAAAATTGGTCAACTCTCGTCGACGGAAGCCCGCCTGCCTCTTCGCGCACGCCGTCAGCTGTCACCCTCTTTGCTCTTCGTCCCTGGTGGTCTCGACCCCCCTCCTCGTCCCACCTGTCACCATGTCTCTGCCAGAGTTGAACGACTCCCCCTTGCCGAAAGACTCCCACCAGTACGATCCGGTCATGCAATCGGAGCCGGAGCCGGACTCGCCCGCCGTTTCCTCCTCCCCCAACCGCCCTCGTACCCTCCGGCAAAGGATATCTGCCGCCGTCGCCAAGTCTGGCTCCAAACCGCTGCTATGCTTTCTACCTCTAGGCCTTGTGGCGGACGTGCTGCATTGGAACCCCGTGTTGGTGTCCATCTACAATTTCCTCGCCGTCATTCCCCTCTCCGTTGTGGTTTCAGACTGCTCCGATGAGTTGTCCGACTCCCTCGGGCAGCTCATGGGCGGCTTGATCAATGCTACCTTTGGCAACTGTGTCGAGCTGTCGGTGAGTCCCATATCCTCTGCTGAACATCAAGCGTCGGTTTTAATCTCATGGCTGTAACTCTCCCAGACCGGCATCTTGGCCCTCACGCGTGGCGAAATATATTTTGCGCAATCTGTCATGATTGGGAGCATTCTGTCCGATCTACTGCTTATCCTCGGTTGCTGTCTCGTCGCCGCCTCGTACAATACCTACATCCTCCATTTCAATAAACCCGTCACCGGCGCGCTCGCTTCGTTGATGGTGGTCACCTCAGTCGGACTGATTCTGCCCTCCGTCCTTTATTCCACCTTTCCTTTCGACCTTGGGGACCAGATCGTAGCGTTTTCCCGCGGCACCTCTGCCGTTCTACTTGCGCTATATGGTGGATATCTTTATTTTCAGCTGGGGACCCATAGCCACCTCTTTCTCCAAGGGGAGACTGAGAGCAACTCATCGCGGGAGTCACAGCGCAGCATGGAATGGCTCACAACCACTCTGATCCTATCCGCGTTAGCCATAGTTGTCTCCACGAAGAACATCATGGACAGCATCCCCGCAACTGCTGCAACCCTAAACATTTCGAAGACGTTCATTGCGACCATTCTCATCCCCATAATCAGCAACAGTTGTGAAGGGGCAGTGGTCATCACTGCCTGTGGTGGTGGCGGCGATGTGAACTTCGCCATCAGTATGATCGTCAGCAGTATCCTGCAGATCGGATTGTTTGCCATCCCTTTCCTGGTCATGCTGGGTTGGGTTATGGGTACGCCGATGACCCTGTATTTCGAAACCTTCCACACCGTGGTTCTATTCTTCTCCGTGCTGCTGGTCAATTGCATCCTGCAGGATGGGAAATATACCTATATTCACGGAAGTATGCTGGTTGCCATGTAAGTCATCTCCCTGGGACTCTTAATTGGTTTACATCTACTGACTGTGAGGACAGGTATGCGATTTTGACGCTTGCTTTTTACGTTCGGTAGGCAATAGCCGTAATGTTTTGATTTCATCCTCTGCGGTCTTTGGAATCTGCGTTATTGCTGGGAATGCGGGTTTTCGGGCATATGCGCCAGAGTTATAGTATATACACACATCTACATAAACCACGTTGATAATGCATAGGACTCAATATCATGTGTTTACGACCGCGACGTCCTTGATGGTGCTCACACTGGGACACACATAAAAGGCCACTCCAGTAATGACGTACCTATGTTTTTGTTAGTAGTGTCGTAAAACTGACAAGGGCCAACGTATGGTTATCAGTCTGGGATGTACTCACGTTCCGCACAGCATGAGGCCATCAAAGTAGTTGGCCCGACCTTCGTGAATCACGTGGCTCATAACCATAGCGGCGAGGAACAACATCGTCGCTTCGAAATTATCCATCTGCAGAGTCACCGATTGGCCCAGCGACCACCCCAAGAGAACCAGAGTTGGCGTGACCAACAGGGTGAGGCGCAGAACGCTATTCAAGATGTTTCGGACGGCGACCTCCACATGGCCCTGGCGCGAGATGATCACGATGGTCAGGTACTTGGTCACGTTCCCCACCAGAGGCACCCAAACCAGAATGGGGAAGCTGGTGCCCGTTCCCCGCTCTAGCGCAGCATTGACGCTGTTCACAATGTGCACAACACACCCCGTCAAGCACGCCACGCCAACCAGGAGAGCAACTCCCGCCGATCGGGGCGTGAACATGACCAGTTCATGAACAGTCGGCATTGGGTTCTCATCCGCCCGGTTTTCACTGCTAGCATCGTTCCAGTGCGACTCAGCTGCCCCCTCGGCAATGCGAAATAATGCAGCATGGGACTTGAGTTGAAAGAGGAGAAAGACACCGAATAGACCCAGCAAGATGAGAGCAATCCCATACGAGACCATCTGAACCTCATGGCTGGTCACTACGGCGCTGATGGAGAGGGTATCCAACGACGGAAACGTGACCATGACGCCGGGAAGCACCAAAGAAATGCATACCATCATCATCAACGACGACATGATGCTAGTCAAGGTGCGATCAAAGTGTAGATGTTCCTTGTCGTAGCCAGAGATCAAGAAACAGCTACCCAGCACCTATATTCTAATAGTCAACCAACGTGATCCAAGCGGCCTAACAACAAAACTAATCGCCTACCAGGAGAGAATAACACAGGATACTTCCAACCACAACTGAGTGGAAGATACGCCCTTGACCCATTTGCGCAGACACAAGCCCAACCATCAATTCGACCGAGTTACCCAGGGTCGACTTCAGGAGCTCGTGAAAGAACGGGCCCAGCGTATGGGACAGCTCGGTGATAGCAATGGTGATGATGGCCATCAGCGGAACTAAGGCGACCAGATTCACCCAGAAGACCAACTGCCTGGGCCATCCCAGAAAGCCTGAGAGGAGTCCCAGGAGCACAAATCCAGCGAGTGCTTTCAAGACAGGGTGGCTACCGATTCTCATAATGACCATGTGGAAAGGATTGGTGCGCCCGTGGAGGGGCGCGGTCGGCGAAGATGCGCGCTCACTGGGAGGCGGCGTAGGGGGATCCGATTCTGCCGATATGCCAGAGGGACCCTCCATGGTTGAAGAATAATGGTGGCGGTGCCTCACAGTAGGCATTTCCAAGAAAGATGTTCCTCACGGGTTGGGATAGATCAAGAGGCTTTTGCTTCTTCTGAGCAACAGGCGGCGCTTCAGAGGCTCTTTTTTGGTTCAGCTGATCGGATGGATCTGAAAGTTAGAAGCTTACCCAGCTTACGGGACCTGGCTGTATCCGCGGTAAGGAGTTACGGTACCGTTCCCCCCGAGCCCGAACCAAGCGCTTCCTGGGCAAGCGGCCCCCTCAGCCTTACAGGGCTGGGTGGCATTTTCCCATTGGCTGGCATCCCCACCTCCCCGTCTGACCGAGGGGTTTGGCGCCTAGGCACCTCCATTCTGGCCCAATGGGCGCTGGGAACCTCCGCCTGGCCCCACCCATCTGCCCGCCCAGTGCGCTCTTTTTGTGTAAACAACCGTATCGGTCACATCTGACACTGTTCGAACCGTACCTGACGGTATCCGCCAAACGGCCCCGCGCGTTTTAAGACTTTGGGGAGAAGCTGGAAGAAGATCAATCCGAGCGAACCTTCTACCTTCTGACAGATGCTCAGCTTCTCGATGGAACTTTCCTCGGTCACCATTCCATGATGGCCGTCTTTAAAAATGCCCAGGAGACGGGCTCACCTTCTCTTCTCGCCAGCGTCTGGCATACTGTTGAGGTGACGTTTCTGTCCAGCTACACCAATGTGCTCTTAATATTTGTATTTCTGGGGATACTGTCCGGCTCCCAAGAATGGAATCCCTCCGCCGTGTTTGTCCTGAATTTCCTGGCCATCTTCCCGCTGGCCTCGTTGTTGTCCTTTGCGACCGAGGAATTGGCTAAAAGCGTCGGCCAGACGGTGGGAGGTTTGATCAATGCGTCTTTTGGCAATGCCATCGAAATGATCGTAAGATAGATTCCTAATTCATCGTTTGTGGTTCATGCTAAATATAGTATTTAGGTTGGAATCACAGCCGTGAGCCAAGGAGAGATTCATATGGTCCAATCTTCGATGGTTGGCTCAATCCTGTCTGGCACTCTGCTGGTATGCCATGCATCACCCTATCCTCCTGCAGCGGTTTCTGACTATCATCATCCAGGTTCTGGGCTGCTGCTTCTTCGCCAGCGGCTATGATAAAGAGACAGTTCACTTCAATGTGGATGTGACGGGGATCATGTCGTCTTTGATGATAGTGTCATCCTCCGCGCTCATTATCCCGTCAACCTTGTACTCCACGGCCCTCTACGCTGCTCCTGGTGGGAACGAGTATATCCTCCACCTGTCGCATATTACTGCTGCCTTCTTACTGCTCTTTTATTTTGTCTATCTTTACTTCCAACTCAGCAGCCACTCTCACCTTTTCAGTAGCACCGAGGACGAGGAAGAAGAGGAGGAGCGCCAGCTAGGACCCCTCGCAGCTAGTCTTATCCTGATTGCCGCTACGCTGGGAGTGACTGTCTGTTCCGACTACCTGATAGAAGGGGTAGACGGTTTCGTTGAAGCTTATGGGGTAAGCAGGGCATTCTTGGGCCTGATTGTTGTGCCGATTGTGGGCAACGCCGGTGAGTTTGCAACTACCGTCAAAGCAGCAAAGGAAGGGAAGGTGGATCTGGCCATTGGCGTGATTGTGGGCAGCACGCTTCAAATTGCATTATTCGTCACGCCGTTCTTGGTCTTGTATGGATGGGCTCTGGGTCAACCGATGTCCTTGCGCTTCAACTCGTTTGAAACCGCCTGTTTCTCGCTGGCGGTGGTGGTGATGAATTGCCTGATTCGGGAGGGTCGGTCGAATTATTTTGCAGGTGTCTTGTTATGTGGAACGTGAGTCTCCCTGTGCTTCTCTTCCCAAGGCAAGTCTGCTGTCTAACCTCTGCTCAGGTACTTGATTATTGCGATCGCCTTCTATGTCCACCCAGACATCGTCGTTCCTGGAGAGTAAACTCCCTGACATCAGGTATGGTATCGGGTGGCCCGTCTACACAGGGATATGACACGTCAGCGGACGATCTATCAATATTTATGTTATAGAGTTGTTATACCAATACACCGTCTCTTAACGCGATCATTATTCGACATGTTGAATACTTCTCTTGCCTTAAGGAAGGAAATCCGACGGGCAAAGCATGCTGCCGAGTAATTTAGGCAGAAATTACAGGCCAGCCAAGCGGGGAGGCCGAAGATTACCGGCGGGGGTTACGCGGCTGCCAGTTTGCCCGTATCATCAAAACCAGCCAATACGAGCGACTGGCGACTGTCTTGCTCCGCCCCAAAATAAGAAAATCAAGCGGCATTAGTTGGATGGATCTTACTCTCTCTCTATCTCCTAACTCCTTCGTCTCCCCTGATTCCATCTCCTTAATCTTCACTTTGCTCAGCGGAGGCGATTTAGCTCGACGTTTTCCTGACCATTTTGTACCTATCACTTGCCTGTGTCGTGTAATCTCTTCGTTTCCCTCCGGTCGGATCTGTCCGCAATGACCCCAGTAACGACCGTCTGCTTGGTCTAATTCAATCGTCCAATCTCCCACGGTAGCATGAGCTCCCAGCCACGGTCATGAAGGAGGCAGGTAAATCCATGATCACAAACCCATATCCACTTGTGGCCCACCCCAGACCGGAGCCAAATATAGAGCCAATCGGTGACTAACATGACCTCAGAGCCTGAGCGAGAAGCCGGTCGTCGCCCACGGACCACTGGTTCGGGGCGAGCCCAGCGCATTCGAGTTCTCGGCTGAACAGTTGAGCGACCTCATCGAATCACGAAGCCTGGATACCTTCTACGCTTTTGGTGGCCTCCGCGGATTAGAAAGAGGTTTACGAACCGATCGACATACCGGATTAAGCGTCGATGAGTCCAGCGTCCGAGTTCACGAGCCATCGGCCACTGCCTCGTCCGTCGACAAACCATCCCACCAACCTCATCAACGCCATATTCACTTCCACCATCACCATAGCACCGAACAATTCGCAGATCGACGTGCTGTCTTCGGAAATAACCGCCTCCCCGTTCCCAAGTCACCCACGGTCTTGCAGTTGATATGGGCGGCCTACAATGACCACGTCCTATTCCTCCTGACAGGAGCAGCGATCATTTCGCTAGCCTTAGGTTTATACCAGACATTCGGGACCAAGCACTCAAGCTCAAACCCGCCAGTTGAATGGGTAGAAGGGGTGGCCATCATCGTTGCCATTATCGTCATCGTCCTGGTGGGCGCAGGCAACGATTTCCAGAAAGAGCTGCAGTTCCAAAAGTTGAACAAGAAGAAGCAGGATCGCCTTGTGAGGGTGGTCCGCTCCGGTCGGCCACAGGAGGTAGCTATTGACGAATTAGTGGTTGGGGATGTTGTGCACATGGAGCCAGGGGATGTCATACCGGCCGATGGGATCCTGATTCGCGGCCACCATGTTCGATGCGATGAATCAGCTGCCACCGGTGAATCGGATTTGCTGCTGAAGCAGTCCGGTGATGAGGTCGCAACAGCGATCGCTGATTGCCGAGATACCAAATACCTTGACCCGTTCGTGATCTCGGGGTCAAAGGTCGCGGAAGGCCTCGGCTCGTTCCTGGTAATAGCAACCGGCAATCATTCGAGTTACGGCAAGATCCTCCTAAGTCTTGAAGAAGACCCTGGCTTTACTCCACTGCAGTCGCGTCTCAATGTACTAGCGAAATACATTGCCAAATTTGGCGGCATTGCCGGCCTGGTGCTGTTCGTCATCCTGTTCATCAAGTTCCTGGTTGGTCTGCGCCACTCGACGGCGTCCGGGACCGAAAAGGGCCAGGATTTCTTGGAAGTCTTCATAATTGCTCTGACAATAGTTGTCATTGCTGTCCCTGAAGGTCTCCCTTTGACCGTGACGCTTTCTCTTGCCTTTGCAACCACGAGGATGTTGAAGGACAACAACTTAGTGCGACAGTTGCGCGCCTGTGAGATCATGGGCAATGCTACCGACATTTGCTCGGACAAGACGGGGACCCTGACCCAAAATGAGATGACAGTGGTCGCAGGAATGATTGGCACAGAAGAGTTCTCGGATCTAGAACCACTGACGGACGTCCCTGCCCGTGATGTTCCGACTACTGCTGAGTTGAGATCTCGCCTTCACGATTACGTGAAATCAGAAATCACTAGTGCGATCGCTTATAACACCACGGCGTTTGAGTCGATAGCGGACGGAAACGTCACCTTTGTTGGATCCAAAACCGAGACTGCTTTGCTGTATTTCGCTCGAAACAACATTGGCCTGGGCCCATTAGAAGTGATACGATCGGGCTATGAAGTGGTGGAGCTCATACCTTTCGATGCTACGCGCAAGTTCATGATCACCGTGGTATGTGTGGACGAGTTTTGTGGGTATGCGTCGTATAGGGCGTATATAAAAGGAGCGCCTGAGGTGTTAATGGGCTTCTGTAGCAGCACGCTGGCGGAGCCCACAAAGTGGAATTCCGTTACAGCCTTGACCGAAACTAACAAGACAGCTATACGCCAGAAGGTAGATACCTACGCAAAGTGCTCGCTACGAACTGTAGGGTTGTTCTACCGAGATTTCGACAGGTGGCCCCCGAACCGGGCTGGAGAAATACAGTCCGACACACTTGACCTCGAAGATATACTTAGCAATCTGACTTTGATTGGAATTGTGGGTATCCGCGATCCTCTGCGGACAGGGGCCCATGACGCCGTTGACACCTGCCGTCGGGCAGGCGTGACGGTGCGTATGGTCACTGGAGATAATCTGTTAACAGCCCGCTCTATTGCCGAGGAATGCGCGATTGTCACCAACGACGAGGACATTGTTATGGAAGGAGAGGCATTCAGGCGCCTGACAGAGGAGGAGCAACTAGAGATAGCGCCCCGACTCAAAGTTTTAGCGCGGTCTCAACCCGAAGATAAGCGTACGCTTGTGCGGCGACTGAAGCAGACTGGGGCAACAGTTGCCGTCACTGGAGATGGGACTAACGACGCTCCGGCACTCAAAGCAGCCGATGTTGGATTTTCCATGGGAATATCGGGGACAGAAATCGCGCGCGAGGCTTCAGCAATTGTGTTAATGGATGATAACTTTGGCTCAATCGTGAAGGCGATCATGTGGGGTAGAGCAGTCAGCGATGCGGTTCAAAAGTTCTTGCAGGTAAGACGTCGGACTGAATGATATTCTCGTCTGCGGAGCGCCATCTAACGGCATAACCTAGTTCCAAATTACCATCACCTTCACCTCAGTCGGACTGGCCTTTGTCACTTCCGTGGCCAGCTCAAGCGAAACATCGGTGCTGACAGCCGTGCAACTGATGTGGGTGAATCTGATCCAAGATACCCTGGCAGCACTCGCGCTTGCTACCGATCCGCCGTCTCCCAGAGTATTGGACCGAACACCCGACAAGAGATCAGCTCCACTGATAACGGTGCCAATGTGGAAGATGATAATCGGGCAGTCAGTCTATCAGCTAGCCGTGACTTTAGTGCTTCACTTTGCCGGCAACAGCATATTCTCATACACTACCGCGCACGAGCACTCCCAGTTGCAAACAGCTGTCTTCAACACATATGTCTGGATGCAGATATTCAATTTATACAAGTAAGCTCCTAGTCCTCCACACATACTGGTTGAAATGCTAACAATCTCAGCACCCGTGCCCTCGGCAACAACATCAACGTCTTCGAAGGCATCCACCGCAACTGGCTCTTCATCGGTGTCAACGTGATCATGATCGGTGGACAAATGATCATCATGTTCGTAGGCGGGCGCGCATTCTCCATCACTCGTCTCACTGGCGTGCAGTGGGCCTACTCTGTCGTCTTGGGAGTCTTATCTCTTCTTGTAGGGGTTATAGTGCGTTTCATCCCGGATAGCCTTGTGGAGCGTTTGTTTGTGGGTATTGGGTTTATTATGGGGCCATTATGGAGGTTATTGAGGGTGAAGATGGAGTAAAGAAACTGGTCATATTCGATGTGTATTGATGCGCTTGTATATATTGGGTCTAGTTTTCGTTTGTTGTCGGTACTGGGTAAGTTTGGTAGGGATGGGTCATACATCACTTCTCTGATTAAACTTTTTGTGGATATTTCTTCACTCGCTTGGTCTTTCTCTTTTATGACTTCGATTCTGGCCTATAGTGTAGAGAGTATTATGGTCGCCCGCGACTCGTAATCCCCATGAAACCATTTGTAGCAAGTGTTGTTGACAGTTCCACGGTGTGTAAATATATTTGTGGGCGTAATATATGCATTTCCCATCGACAGTGTATCCTAATAGCACTACTGCTAGTAGGGTATATGCTCGTAGTATTTTAGTATGTCACGAAAACTTATCGGCCGCAAGGAAGAAGATCGAAAAGTACTAAAGCTGGCGTGGTTATTAGGCTACATTGTATAAAATGGACTATGATCTCACAAATAACACCGCCTATTCTCTATATAAATATATATATATAGAATCCGTGACTAAAGTACGATTAGTATGCATCTCGCAGGGTTCGAAGTGGAGCAGACCAAACTGAATAGTAGTATATGTGCCAAAATACGTTTGTTCCTTATATCCATTTTCGAACCCCAAAAAATACTAGCTCACATAAATCGTAACACCTCTAACAGGTGATTAATTTCGAAGAAGACGTCTGATCAACAAATGTCTCCGCCCCCGGCTCCAGATTGGCAAACAACTTATCAAAGATCTCTTTTCCTCCTTTATCATGCACAAGTCCGATCCAAATGAAAGAAGAGAGAATGGCCCGCATCTCCTCCCACGAGCGAACTCGACAGCTCCCCAGGTAATACAGCAGCCAGTGCCGGAAATTCCGCCTGACGGCAGGTAAAAACACCACAAGACCACCGACGGTTAACAGCCAGATCCACAGTTGCGGGGACACATCATCTCGCTTGGCTAAACCATTGAGACAGCGCTGGTACGAGGCAGCCAGGTGGACGTACGGAGTGGGGTCGCTGCGGAACTGCAGGAAGATGTCGAATCCGTAGCTGAGTAAAGCTAGACGAATCGCCTCGTCACGGGACCCGGGATCAAAGCTCATGTGTAACAGAGGGTACATGACGGAGGCCATTGTCTTCATGAAATCGGTCTCGGGGATCATGCCGTTCATCTTGGTGGTCAGGTTGACCTGGGCACAGAATCCCTGCATAATGTGCCAGATCCGAGCGAGACCGGGGTCAAGCTCCCGGACGAACGACGGGTCGGGACGAGAGCGCGCCGTGAAGCACAGCTCAGATGGGACGAAGATGTCGAGATCACGGTTCTCGAAAAACGCGGGTTTGTCTCCACTGTGGATCGCTAGTCCCACATCGCATCTGATCACAGGGTTAGGTTGCAAGCAACTATGTAGTCTAATACGAAAGGGGAATATAATATCCCGGCAAGGAAAGTAGTAGGAAAGTAACGGACAGGGGAAAGGACCCACCGGATAAGATCGATAACCAGTTTGTTATTGGATGTGAACGCCCCCAAGCCCCCGCGCAGACGGACCATCTTGCGGAGACCCTGGGTGTGATGTTGTACGGCAGCATAATCACTCACGATATGCGCGTGCAGGATGAGAATAATGACGACCATTACGGTTGCATTGGACACGCGAACCTGCTCGTCTTCGAGCCGGTTGCGTAACAGGCGGATGGCTTTCCCCAGATGAGGGGATTGGGCCGCATCGGGACCCTTGTAGATCCCAAAGTATGACTGGGTAGTGATGACCATGGCGTTGAGATAGGCCGCATCTAGTGACAACATGTCAAGAATCCAGGATCGACTAGACTTGTTGAATACGATGCATACGGCAAGGGGGTAGAACTCCATCTTTGCCCGGTCGGTGACTATGGAGGTTTACTCTTTTAGTGGGCCCCATCGAATCACCGGCAGGTGGGAATCAGGGACGCGGCACCTACAGCGAAGAATAGTGGCTAGGGCTGCTGGGCTGGTGGTGTCATCAGCCAGCCGGATGAGGGACATGTCGTTGCCGACTCTGCGGGGAAGATCTAACGGCAAGCGGGTGGCTGGCACTTGTGCCGCAGGCGATGTGGATGATGAACCCGCCCCATCGGCAGGAGGAGCCGAAGTATCGTCTGTGCTCGTGTCCGCCGGTGTCGATGGATCGGCTTCTGCTTGGCGATAGCGGGATTTGCCACGGTTTTTGCCAATCATGACATGGCTGCGAATGAGTTTGCGGGTACGGGGATCGACCTTCTTGGTGCCGGTGGAGACGATGAAGGGCATGTCCGCCATGGCGACTATAGTACGGAAGAGGTAAGAGAGGCATTCATTGGGCTACAGAAGAAGCGAGGAAAACTTGGTATGGAGACGACGCACATACCAGACTGCTTGGAGGGCGACATAGTGGCGATCGAGCCCCAGACTAGGGACAAATGGCGTCCTGCGCACTGTCCCAGACCAGTGGGATAGATCTCACGAGGATGTCGGGCAGGTGCTTGGACGAAGCTACACGAATGGGATGGACGAGTATTTGAGATTGCTGGCTGAAAAGGGCAAGCAATCCGGGGGCACTCGGGAGAGTCAGGAGATATAAGAGACGGCCATGTCGGAGGGAGCTGCAGTTGCTGCTCGCACGTCCTTCCTTTCGCTGGTTGGCTCGGATGGTCTCCGCTGTCACCTGTTGCCCGTGCTATAGTCTAATTGGCGGATATGCTACAGGTGGGCCTGACATTGTTGCCTCTATTGAGTTTAGCGTGGTGAGCATGTGATGCATCTGGGGCAATTAACTGAATCGGGAAATATCACTTATTTCACCGCTATCTGGCTATCTACAACACTACAAAAGATCATGGTGAACAGCAAGTACGGAGTAGTCGCTCACTTTCACCTCACACTTTATAGTAACTCCTACCCATTACCGTGATCCCAGCTACAATGCGGTAAATGCCGCCAGAATCCCTGAAATAGCACGTGCTGGTCCCTGATAGTCCTCGTCCATGTCGCCCGCAACGACTATGTGTTCGACATCGTGCCTCGCTTTTGGGCCTCCAGTCTCTCTGCCTCCTCTATGATTCTGTCAAACACTGCGTCAATTAGCTTGTATGTACGCTGCGGCAACTTTTCACCCTCGATGGCTAGAGGAGCCCGTGTGTCCCCGCAAGGAACACTATAGATCCACCGTACGAACAATACATAGTTCTCGCGACAATTCTTGGTAAAATCGAGAAATTTGCTCTTGGAGATGTAAAGATGTTGTCCGTCATGATATGCCTGTAGGATTCGCGCTTGGGAGCGGAAGATGGAAATGACCATGACCTGTGTCAAAAAGCGTTGCATTAGCAGGGATTGGTGGCAGGTAATAACAAATGACTGATTTTGTCCGGTGTAATCCAGAGATTGCATGCGTTCCAATATAATGGAATGAGCTTACCGGAAATGTGCGATGTTCGATATAGTCAAACTGATTCAGACGCCAACGCATGTATCCGACAATGGGCAGCACTTCACTCCGACGCAGGGGTTCTTCCGGGTCGGCATAATGGTACATTCGGAAACTGCAGTGGGAGATGCCTAAAGACTCCGCTTCCATATCTCCTCGTGTTTGCCATTGGTAGGGGAAATTGGGAGCGTGCTCACCGGTAGCGATACTGGGGCTTTCATGGTAGCACCTGCAAGAACGACGCGGGAAGTAATATGAGCAAATACGTTCTCTATCGTCATCACACCGCCTGGGGTCGGTACTTACTTTCGTTGGACCCAAATTTGCTCCTTGTCTTCTTCAAGCCATGCACTCCAGACGGCATTGGAGACGCTTTGAAGAGTCTGGTCCACACGGCGTGGCTCGACGCTGTATCCCTCATGCCATTCTAAGAATTGTACCTCGTCCCAGTCGATCTTGGGTAGGTCTGATTTGGGAAGGGGCCTGTAAAACGACTGGTGGTCATCAGAACACGCGCCTTCGAGGTTAAGCTCGGATAATTTGATACCCAGCAACTCCAAGTCGCGGCCGGCCAATGTCGAGTGGCTTAGTTCCTTGGTTGCCGTGAAAATGCGTCTGAGGTGACGAGATACGACATTGGTCTGTGCTACCCGGAGTTGAGCATCCTGACGAAAGCTCTCGAAAGTGTCTCTGAAGCCCATGTTTATGGTATATGAAGCCAGCGAAAAGAGATTGGTGCGCGTTAAAGTCGACCTTGGGTACGGATGATGATGATGCAGGGGTTCCTAGATGGCTGAAGATCACGTGGCGAAGGTCGACAAGGGTACTGGAATATGAACAGGGGAGTCTCGATGTTGATTGTGAGATAATAGGAGCTTTAATTAGAGACGGGGAAACCTGGGAGAAAAGATGGTGTTGGGAAGGGGCACTAGTACTAGGAGATCGACCTTAAGTACTAGTACTATTGTTCCCAGCCTACCGTCCAGACAACCAATAAGAGCAATCAAGGACATAGCCCGGTGCTGGACTTTAACTCACCACTACTTACAGGAATGCAATTGCTACTATGACATTTTATTTGTCCAAGTGAATACCGATGTACTTCACCAAGGCGCGAGATAAACTGTTCTTGGCATTAACTAGCTGTCGTCCCCTTCACAGGCACCCATGCTCCCTATTGAAGTACTTGATGACTGCCAGGAATTCCCTGGAATTCCGCTGCCCAGGGCTTGGGTCCAAATGTGAATATTTTACCATTTTTTTTCAGGTAGGAGGGCAGAACTCCTGGTCTACTGGTAGCATTAACCATCCCCATGGCTGATCCCATCTTGCACCACAAGGCGTCCCCCTTTTCATTCAATTCAAGGAGGTGCTGTGACTATACCAGGGTCTCTTTCACCGATCATATGCTGTCACCAGGACACAGCACTAGCATGTCACTGCTGCAGAATATTCATCTCCTGCAAATATTAACTCCACCGTAGGCAGTACTTATGAGAGAGGCGAAGATGGAGGAATCGAGCATCATTCTGTCCAACCCGAGGCTCATCTTGGACCAGCTTTCTTTTCTTCATATCACCTTACCTGAAGAGCATGGGCATTATACTATCTATTTCACTCTAACCAGAACCCTTTTCCCACTATTAGAGGAAGTAGAGATGTCCGATCTTCCACTACCTGTTAAGATTGACAGTAAAAGGCAATGGCGTACTTTGGCCAAGAAGAACAATGTGGAAGGAGTCAATATATATAATCTGGAGGACTACGATTCTGGATCCAAGATCAACGACCCGCAATATCTTTCCTTGCGTGCCTTATGGAAATTCCGGCCTATTAATGAGTTCAAACCCTGCGAATGGGGTATCTTGGGCGTGGAAGAAGCTCGGGCCTCGCTGATGAAGCTGGAGCATTGGGCAGATTTTCTTCAGGCAATCCCTCTGGAGGTCTCTGTCGAGGAAATTCTCCCCATTAAGCATAGCCTCGGCAAATTTGAGCTCATCTGGTATTATGGACAGCTCATTTGCTGCGCCCCGAGCGCGCCAGATACCGAGGAAAACCTCGATTTCACCCCATTGTCGAAGAGGTTGAGAGAGCGGAAATTGAAGTCGCACGGCAGAGAAACTTCTGAGCAAACACCGACGCATCGAGTCGTCTGACAGAGCGGCTTATGAGGCTTGAGGCGCAGAGACAGGAGCAAGGGGACAAACTACGGGAGCAAAAACCTACAGACCAGAGCTGTATTGACGCGCCCTTGTCAAAGCTTAGCCCGGAAGGACAGGGGAGTCAATTTCCAGGAACTCCGTCGACCGATCTTGACCCGGATACTCCGGCCGATGACCAAAAGGGGGATCCGAGCTATAAGGAGCAAAGAAGATTTCCCCGGGTTTCTGACGAGGATTTAGTCAATCTTTACCTGCTTGCCCTGGCGAGCGTGGTGACCCTCTCAGTGGAAGGCGTCAATGCACACTGGTCTCCGGAGCGAAAGGGGTTCAAAGTGTGCGATGAGAATGGGGAGAAGTTATACGAGGCGCGCATAGACGGTCATCTTTTCTTGTCGAATAGTCGGGAGACGAAGGTCATCGTAGAAGTCAAGCCAGTGATGCAAGACGAATCCCCGCGGGTTATGATGCAAGAGACCGCTCAAATGGCGGCGTGGATTCACGCCGATCGAGATGTGATCCAGGAGGATACTCGGGTAGAGCAAAGGTTAGTTATCCCTCCTATTATCCATGTATTCAGAAGACCCTTACCCAAGGGGAGGGAGAATGTGAATCCGGCAGCTAAGCATCTGGCTCCATAGGTTCCGCCGCCTACTTTGGTCGATGAATAGACACGAGATATACCTTATTGTTGCAGAATACACGGCTGATTGTGTTGATTACTTGACCAATCCAGGTCGCGAATCGGCCTGCAAATCATTTTTAACAATGAATCAGTTTGGACCCTGGGAGATTGTAAGCTCGTCCCACGTTGCAGATATAGCGGCTTTATTGTTGGCGGTTACATTACAGTTCAGCAGGGGTATACCACTCTTTTAGACCTCCTGCGGTTCTCGGATATCGACAGGCATCGTTATTTTTCACAGAACGAGCCGCAGCAGCTGTCATTCAGATCGCATGAGCGATAATTATATCACATTTCTATCCCCACTGTCGACCGTTCATTGCGCCCTTGATCCTTGGCCTGGTACCCAGACCATCTCACAAACAGCCCCCCACCAGATACAAATCCAACTGTCTCGTTCCGGGGGAAATAGGACACTTATGGTAGTGGTCTATAGTGCTACATCACCATGGAAGGGTAGTCACCCCAGGCCGGCCAATGGTGGAAATACACCGATGACAAACACTGTATAGAAGTGAAGTGTCGCTTTCTTTTTCTTAAACCCTATCTTAAACAGCCAGAACCCCGGAAGACACTTCTTGTGTGATTACAAATGTGGAGCAGCTCAACAGCGCAACTGTGTCGGGCCCATTAGCAAACAAGATTTCCACCAATTGATCAAACTACCATCTCGAACTGAGCTGCGAAACACCTCCACCCAGCCGATGCTGCAAACCGCACCAAATCCACGATGTGCGGGGTAAGATGTGGCCCGCTGCGGGTTCCGAGAAGTCAAAGAAGGAATAGGCGCCCATAACCATCCCTGCCACGCTATAACCTTAAATGGCTGCCCCTCGCTCACTGTACTTGGGTTCAGCCACAGTTTCACCCTCCTAACTTTTGTTTTACGCACATCCAGCACATTATGGACATCATCTGGCGAGATTCGGCTGAACCAGCCGTGTACGAAGAGGCTCGCGTAGGTCGTGTATTCAATCACCGTCGTCCCCAACGCTTTCCTTTGGCAGTTGTCAAGGCTACCAGCACGAGCGACATTATTAAAGCTGTGAAGCTAGCCGCCGAAAAGAAGTGTCGCGTTGCTATTCGCTCGGGAGGGCATTCATGGGCAGCATGGAGTGTCCGCGATGAATCCATCCTCATTGACCTGGGGAACTACAAGCACCTGGAAGTGGATGCGGAAAATCGCATCGCAAAAGCCACTCCTAGTATGACAGGGAAAGAGCTCAATGGAACCCTGATCAAGGAATATGGCTTGATGTTTCCGGGAGGTCACTGTCCCGATGTCGGCCTGGGTGGGTTCTTGCTACAAGGCGGAATGGGATGGAACTGTCGGGTCAGTTACTATGCTCCCACCATACATTTCGGCTGGCTAATGGGTAACTCCGACAGAACTGGGGTTGGGCGTGTGAACGAGTTCAAGCAGTAGATGTAGTGACAGCCACAGGCGAGCTGCTGCACTGCAACGCTACCCAGAACCGCGAGCTCTACTGGGCTGCTAGAGGGGCTGGTCCAGGGTTCCCCGGTGTGGTAACGCAGTATCATTTGGAGCTGATCCCATACCCCAAGGACGGATTCCGCTCGTCTGGCTACGTCTACCCTATCCGACAGTATCGACAAGTCTTTGACTGGCTCCTGTCTATCACCCCTGGCTTCGACGAGGACACTGAAATTGCCGCCGTGGCCGCGTACCCCGAGGGCATTGATGAGCACTGCTTCTTCGTGTTATTTGTCGCCATGAAGTCAACCCCTGAAGAAGCCGAAAAGGCTTTACTGCCAGCGCAGATTACAAGGCCAGCCGGGGCGATCCAGGAGTGGTTCTGCCAGGTGGATAGCCTGGAAAATCAGTACTCTAAGCAAGCCAAAGCTAACCCAGAGAGACACCGGTACTGCGCCGAGAATGCCTACATTCGGAATGACGCCGATGTCCCCACCGTGCTGGAGGAAGCATTTACGACACTGCCCCACAAGAAGGCCTTTGCCCTCTGGTACGCCATGTACCCCTGTAGCCGTCGGAAACTGCCCGACATGGCCTTGAGTATGCAGTCAGACCATTACTTTGCACTCTACACTGTGTGGGAGGAGGAGAAGGACGATGACAGATGTCAAGCGTGGGTGGCTGATGTTATGAAGAGAGTCCAGCGACATGGGGTCGGGTCTTATCTGGGAGATGCGGACTTTCAGGTGCGAAAAACGAGGTACTGGGCGGATGACAATGCTCGACGCTTGATGGACATCCGTCGCAAATGGGATCCTCAGGGGCGTATCTGTGGGTATCTGGACCAGGGTGATCAATCTGGAACGAGAGGGCTGGATAATGCCAAGGAGATCAAGTTGTGAGTGGTTGTTTGTTAGCCGGATAAATATTTATGAGGACTGTTTCGTGGTTTGGAATACTTAGTTTCAGTGATTGGCGCTCGAGAAATGAGATCCTGTATATAAAACGAACAGCCTTACATGTATCTATACTCCCTACTGAGTTGATTATCCACTGCGACGTAGTCTCAAGCAATACTGCTGGAGCAGACCGGGCTGTGGAGACATGGTGTTAAGAGTCTCGCTCGGTGGAATATCCAACTTGCCAGGCGTAGAAAGCTCACCAGTATACGAGGTCATGGATGACCCATTCAGCCCCATCCTAATTCTACATTAATCAATGTAATAGTGAGATAGCTAATCAGTTAGAGTCTGCTTTCCCTCCATCTACCGTGTTCTGTCTCTCACGTGGAATACTGTAAGCGTCAACCACGTTAAACGCAGCTGTTGGCGACTTCTACCATTCATACCTTTCCTCCATCATCGATATCCAAGAAACCAAATGTCCCCCTGTTTTTCAAGGCAGTCCGGTCAGTCCACATCGGGTTGTGGAGAGCAAAAGCGAGAAGTTGCGGGAGTCGGGAGAGACACTCGGATAGCGGGGCAGTGATGAATCTCCAAGCGCCGGGAAGCTGAGCCGAACCGATCATATATGGCACTCGGCAGGAACACAGTTGCAACAGATTATATCCCACTCATCATGTCTCCTGTTCATCGGCTCGACCAAATCAGCAAACACATCTCGCCCAAGATGGTAGAGCAAACTCTTTCCAATAAGGTCGCTATCGTCAGCGGCTCGTCGTCGGGGATTGGTGCCGCCATTGTGCGGGAACTCTCTGCTCGTGGAGCGAGCACAGTTGTCAATTATCCATTCCCCGGTTTAAAAGCTGAAGCAGATGCCCTGGTGGCTTCTTTGCCATCGCCCTCGGTCGCTGTCGAAGCAGATATGGGCTCAGTGTCTGCTCCACAAGCGCTGGTCGATGCTGCTGTATCGAACTGGGGTCGAGTCGATATCGTGATCAATTGTGTCGCACTAGCAGTGAACAAACCATTTGAAGAGCAAACTCTTGATGACTGGGACAGGCTGGTCAATATCAATGGACGCGGGACGTTCTTATTGACTCAGGCCAGCTTGAAGCACCTCACGAAGAACACGGGGAGAATTGTCAATATTGTGAGCATTTCGGCACGAGGGCCGCCGCCCAATCAAACCATCTATGCGGGTACCAAGGGGATGGTTGACTCATTTACTAAGTGCTGGTACGTCTCAGTCTTCTGTAGATATGAAGGGATTGGTTTCTAAATTCAGGCAGGGCCAAGGAGCTTCCACCCAAGTATGGCTGTACCGTCAACGCGGTCAGTCCGGGCCCGACCAAGACCGAAGGCTTCGCAGCAGCAGGCGAGGAGCAGATGAAGATTCTGCAGCCCATCATCGATCAGACACCGGTTGCTCCTCGTATGGCTGAGCCGGATGAGATTGCGTATGCCGTAGGGTTTCTTTGCGAAGAGAGGTCGAGGTGGATTAATGGGGCACATATTGTTGCATCTGGGGGACTTTTTATTGATTAGCTTATGCGATGAGCACTTGAGAGATGGAAACAGTTACCTGATTCAGCCTTCCATGGATGCGCAAAGCAGTGCCTGTGTCTTGCTTCTAGCGCTTTGGTTAACAAGTATTGCGTTAACTAGCACCTGTATAAGCATACCGATGACTCTATATGTCATCCAACTAATCGTTTTCGGGCGACGAAAATCCAAGAGATGATTCCATAATCGTTAATGTACGGGCGTCCTTGAATATGATCACGGCTGCCACATCCGCGCTGTGAACGTTCGAGATGCTTCGCACTGGCCCCAGCCAGGCCGCAATTATCTGTCATAGCAGCATGCAACAAACATGCACAGTCACAAATATACAAATTTACAAATGTCTGAAGTAATGTGCATTGTGCATTCCAGGGCAATGAGGCACGTGGAAGCGAGCGCCAAAGAGGAAACTCACATTCACGCGCAGTCGCTTAACTCGAGTCTTGACCTTAGCGCGTTTAGTATATCCTCATGCTTGCTCTGTTGACGCGAGATCTGTCATTGATACTTTCTTCACCTCCAGTCTCTTCACCATCTACATACTTTTCACTCGTTCATCGTTCAAGCGTCAGCATCCAAGCGTCAAGTCTCTTCGTCGTCGTTCAGCAAAAATGCCTACCAACTTCAACGTTGATAGAGCGATGGCGGTGATCCGCAACGAGCATAGAAAGCTCCTCACTCTCACCTTCACCAACCACTTCATCTATTCGGGCCAGTTCCTCCCCAAGCGTGGTAAGCCATCGTCTCCTGTATCTAGAACTCAACGCAATGCGATACTAACCCACCAGATGCCGCCCACCCACCTCGTATGTCGTTCCCTCGCCTCAAGAGCAATGGAACCTACATGATCGTGTGCCTCGACCTCGACGCCCCATACCCCTCGTGCCGCATCCTCGGCCCCAAGTGCCTCTGGATCCAGTCCGGTCTGGAGCCAATCGTGAGCGAAAGTGGTCACTTCTTCCTCAGAGTGGCAGCCCCTTTCATCGCCAACTACGTTGGACCTAATCCCCTTCCTGGAAGTTCGCCGCACCGCATTCTTTTCATTCTCTATGAACAGCCTGCTGGATTCGAAGTCACTCGATCCTCTCCCACTGGTGGCAAGAAGATGGGAGTCTGGTCTCGCATGCGTTTCGATCTTGACGGCTGGGCTAGAGAGATTGGTCTTGGCCCTGTGGTCGGAGCTAATTATTTCGTCAGCAAGTGACTGTCGACTGTTTTCTGTGATTGCGTCGTTCGTATCTGAGCTGTTTTAATTGCAGCATCAGACAAACTGATGGCTTTATTGTGGTGGATGAGTGAAATCTAGCGGTCCGCATGTATATTTTAGCATATGGTTGTGGTGTTGCGGCGTTTACTTTGAAGTTGCTTGCTTGACTCGCACATAAGATGGTAGTTTTGCTGTGTTGAAGTGGTGGAATCGGACCTCTATGTATATTTTACGATGTGATGATGACGCTAAGCATCTGTCAGACAGACTGTTGTGAACAGCAAATAAAGTAATGTTTAATTAAAAACGGCTCTGATCACCAGTAGTTCAGCTTTAAATGACAACATAGACAGACTACCAGTTCGAAATCACATCCACTGCAGTACAGACAACCATACTCACTAAATCTAAGAGGAAATCACCTCGCAATCTCATCCACCCATTCTTTCGAACACACAACGCGCCCCTGACGCGTAAAGACCTTCTCCATCAGAACCCGATGCACCTCGGAATCCCGATCCATACACACATCCTCCAGAACAGTCACATTGTAATCGAGATCCGCGGCCGCGCGAACCGTCGACAGAACAGCTCCACTAGTAATAAGTCCTCCTACCACCATCTCGGTAATACCCTTCGAACGCAGGATAAGATCCAGCTCAGTGCCAGTAAAGGCCGAGACACGATGTTTGGTTACAATAGGCTCTTCCTCACGGCGCGACACAGCGGGATGAACCTGGGTAGACTCATCGTGGGTCAGGAAAGCCCCCATTTCCTTGGCCCTACCCACATTAGGATTTCGGGGATGGCATTCTGGATAGCCAGGACGGAAGGCCGTTACCACATGGATGATGTTGATTTGGGCGTTGCGGGCAGCTTGTGCGACGGATGATAGAGTTTGGAGGTATTGGGTGGTGTTCTCGAGACGGTTGACGACGCCGTTCTGCACGTCGAGGAGGAGGAGGGCTAGTCTTTTGGTGGCCATGATGGTAGACTTGCTTGACTTATTTTCACGAGAAGAGTAATTTGATGATTGTCTGAAGTTGACAATGACCAGTTGCTGGGTGTACTTGGACATTTTATGCTTGCTGGGACTACCCGGTAACGGGCTGAATAGCTGGAGTTCTATTCTCTGATTGGACAAGAGGCCCGTTTCCGGGATAGAAAGCCGGTACCGGGATCTAGTCCTCGAGCTTTCACAATAACAGACCGTAGCATTATTCTTTTTTTGCTCCGTTCTCCTTACTTTTCCTACGTTTGATGGTATTCTGCTTGTAGACTTGAGTCTAAAAAGAGCCTCTGCAAAGACGTCAAGTGTTCAATATGAACGGCAATCCATCCTCTTCATCAGCTACAGAGACAAACGCCGCCGATCTAGAAAAAGAGCCGAACCAAGATGCACCACCTAGGCTGGAGGTATTTTCAGTCTTCACAGTCAACCAGAAGAGAGCCATGGTGGCGACCGGCTCAATGGCGAGCTTTTTCTCGCCTTTGTCTTCAAGCATCTACTTCCCTGCCATGGACACGATCGCAACAGCGCTGAATGTCTCCACATCCAAGATTGATTTGACTGTCACGACCTACCTCGTGAGTCTAGAGTCCCTTTTACAGGTTCAGTAACTGATGATGTACTTTTTATTCCCAGATAATGCAAGGCATAGCTCCCATGTTGATCGCCGGATTCTCAGACACAGCCGGCAGACGTCCCGCCTACATAATCTGCTTCACCGTCTATATCGCCGCCAACCTGGGCCTCGGCATCCAGAACGACTACGGTTCGCTACTCGGTCTGCGATGCCTCCAAAGTGCAGGAAGCAGCGGCACCGTGGCCCTGGCCAACGGCCTCGTTGGAGACCTAGTAACATCAGCGGAACGCGGTACATACATCGCCTTCGCTTCGCTTGGGAGCATGCTCGGCCCCTCTCTGTCGCCCATCATCGGCGGACTCCTCAGCCAATATCTCAACTGGCACTGGATATTTTGGTTCCTTCTCATCTTCTCGGGTGCCTTCTTCCTCCCTCTATTACTCTTCCTCCCGGAGACCTGCCGCAAAGTCGTAGCCGATGGCTCTGTCCCACCCCCCACACTAAACAAAAATATAAGCGACACACTCCGGCACCGCAACCGAAAAGCCAAAGGCCTCGCTGTGGAGGAAAGCAAACTCGCCGAAGTGCGCAAGAACTACGCCTTCCGGTGCCCATCACCAATGTCCACACTGAAGGTTACCGCCGACCTAGAAACCGGCGTCATTCTCCTGGCCACAGGGCTAAACTTCGCATGCTTCTACGCCGTAATGACCGGAGCGACCACCTCATTCCACAACATCTACCACCTCAACGACATCGATACAGGCCTAATGTATATCCCCATCGGGGCTGGCGGCATCGTATCAGCATTCACCACGGGCCGTCTAATGGACTGGAACTACCGACGCCATGCCGCGCAGGCCGGACTACCTGTTATCCGGAACGTGCGACAGGACCTCACGAACTTTAATATTGAAAAGGTGAGGCTGCAAGTCGGCCTACCGATGTACTACGCATGCATAGCGTCCATGATCGCATACGGCTGGGTCCTCGGCCACAAGGTGAATCTGGCTGCGCCGGTAATCCTACTCTTCATCTGTGGATGGAGCCTCAATGCTACATCGCAGGTCTTGAATGCAATTCTTGTTGATCTGTGGCCTGGTCGGTCAGCTGCTGCGACGGCAGCGAGTAATTTGTTTCGCTGTGAGTTGGGAGCTGCAGCTTCGGCGGCGATTACGCCTATGAGTGAGGCCATGGGCCAGGGGTGGGCGTATACGACACTGGGGTTGATTGCGGTGGTTGTGTCGCCGAGTTTGTGGGTGGTTATGGAGAGGGGGATTAAGTGGAGGCAGAGGAGGTTGAGGAGAGAGCGGGAACGGGCAGCCAGAAATCAGTAGCGTGAGGTTGATGTAGAATGAACGGAATGAGTAGTGTCACCAAATGTAGGATATGTTTTGAAATAGGGGCATAGTTTTTCAAAATTGCATGTTAGATAGTATGGACAAAAGCGTATGTTTACTCCTTTATTGTGGAATTCATCGTGATATGTGGCTCTGTATATTTACTGTAGAGCTACGTAGGCA